CTAATAAGTCCAGATAGGGTTTATTTAATTACACGTGGTTGATTATCAACCATATCAAAGACGTATAAATCCCTTAAAGCCAAGAGATAAGTATCCCATTCTGGCTGTCACGAATAATAATATTTTTCCCTTGTAATATCTCCAAATTCATATTGTACTTAACCTTTACGTTACATTTTCATATAAATACAAAATAATATATAAAAGTCCTTTATCTACAGTCCTTTCATAAATTTGAAACGTACAAGAAAATCATTTTCACTCAAAACATATCTACGAAAACTCGTTTTGGTTTCTTGTTAAGACTTGAGATTCGAAGGCTCCCAAAACAAAATATAGGGCATTTTTATAAGCCTATGAAGATATATACAATGCTTCCACAGTTCCACGGTTATGTTGATCACTATTTAATACAGTTTAATCGTGCGTAGAAGATTTTTGATAACGTTGCTATTTAAGACGATCTTGATTTCGCTAAATTATTGACATTTTATATAAAAAAATTCTAAATATTTCTTCTAAGAAAAATCCATAAATATTAAAATCTTTTGACAAAAAGAAAAAAAATCCATATCTTGTATATATATAAATTATACAAATTCGAGCACTATATCCCCAGAAGAATTTTTTTTTGAAGTTTCTGTTTTACGGGAACAAATATAATAGGAAATTTAGATATCTCTTAACAATCATCCATGATATAAATATTAAAGCTCTTACACAACCATATAGTATTCATACCTACACATATGCTCGTACATATATACACTCATAAATAGAAATAATGTACATAGATGTGTGTGTTCTGGGTGTGGGGTTAGAACTGGGAGACAAGGTACGGGAGAACAATCTATAGCTCTATGATGAAAATCATAATTATTCTGTTTTGTGACATTTTGGAAAGCGATGTAGAGACTAGAGAGCATTATGTGAGGAGCACGTGCATGAGTGATGATGAAGATGATGATGCATGTGCTGTGTACATGTCCATGTGTTATGTGTACTATTAATTACATATATTCCTTGTTTTCCATAAATAAGTTTGGCTTTGTTCTTCTAATAATGTAATGCACGTAATTTAAAATAAAAATATCAAGCTTCACCGTGAATCCGTGATCAAATCGAAACACCAACAAAACCGAGTCATGAGATCATTCAGGCTCAGGCTTGTTCGACATTGTCGTGTGAGATCATTTACATCATCATCATCAAAATACAATATTAAAACCAAACGAGATTATCACTTAAATCAAACAGCCAATTATTATTAAAATTTCTCGTTTGTTATTGACATAATGACACACAGTCACATTCACACATAATAATAATTCATCACCCGAGTGTGCTACGTGCTATATGACTCTTCTGATTGCTAACTAATTAGCTAGGATTATCGTGAAAATAGTGCGTATATTAATATGCGTTTATACATATGTTCTTCCTTTTCTAACATAATGCGTTAATCTTAAGGACTAGTGTTTGAGATAAAATAAAGGACCCACGATTTGTTAAATTTTGTCGTTTTGTAGATATTTTTTATTTTTGGAATATAGCATAGTGAGAGCCAAGTCGGATAGAAGGAGACAAAAATAAAATTAAAAGTAGAATCATATATATAAAAGTTGGCCAACTCTCTCCATATGAGTGACACATCATCACACAAGAAAATGACATGTGTCATTTAACATTATTTAAATTAAAAATCAGCAAAATCAATTGAGAGAAAATCAAAAGTCTCCTATTATATTAAATCCTCAATTAATCCATTTCTTAAATGATTTTTCCAAAATAAAAATAAAATTATAAAATTATTTTAATAAATCAATTACTACTTTCATTTTACTTTTATTATTTTTCTATTTTTTTTTTTTAATTTAATGGTCAATGGTCTCCACTCGATAATGACAAAACAATTATTTGTGTTGTAATTTAGTTATTTGCTACCTAATATCTTATTAGGTTAGTAATTTTACCTTGAATATTTTTTTATTATTACGTTATGGTTCATATCTTATCATATGACATTCTCTCTTTTCATTTTTGTATCTTATGGTAAGTTCGTAACATTGATATGCAAAAATTTTCAAGTAATAGAGTTTTGAGACGTTAGACATACCATAAAATTCAAGACAAATCTATTTATCTTATATGGCTATATGCAATAGCATAAAATCTAAAAGTGTTACTTAAATCACTCTTTAATTTTTGCTTTCTTTTTTCTTCTTTTCATACGAAAACTCTTGAGATCAAAATATCTTATATTCTTGTCGTGTGTATTCATAATAATGAACAAATACTAGAATGTTAGATATAAAAATAATCAGATTATACATAAAAATGTATAAATTGATATTTAGAGTCAAAAACGAATCTAACAATAAAAATTGTAAGTACATAAGATGAGTCTAATTTTATAAAGTATACAATAACAAACAAACAAAAAAATTAGCGATAAAAACAATTAACATATTTTTATCTTAACAATCTTCGAAACAAACCCACGCGTAGCGTGGGAATTCGTCTAGTATAATTAAAAGAGTAGGAAAAAAACAAAAGTAAATAAGACGGAAATGACCAAATTTAAATAAATTAAAAAGAAAATGAATGGGGTAGTCTTTCCCTTTTGTTAAGATGCCAGAAGAAAAACCAGTCTCTCAACACTTTTTATTGGTTCCCAATATTGATTCAACGTTTGATCCATTTCAAGTAATTATTATTCTTTTTTCTATAAAGTAAAAAAAAACTGTAACTATTTCCTTTAGAAAAAATTCGTACACATAATCAACTGGTCCGTCGAAACTTTTTATGAATGGGTCCTTGATTTGTGACGTACGTGCAATTTGTCCAAAAGAAACAAGAAAATTAGATTCGGGAGTGATTATCATCACACTATTAATCATTTTTTATATATTTGTATCGTGAATCTTCTTTTATATACATAGGATTGAATGTCAAATTTGTCTTTAATTTGATCAGGGATAGAAATAAGTTTGTAGTTTAGTTAGAAGCCAAAAACAGTAGAGGGCTTAAATAGGTCGCGAAAAGGCAAGTCATGTTATGGAAATTTGGTCATTACACTTGTAATTGTATTACTGTTTCGGAAAAAGACATTATTGAATGCAAAAAGAAAGACGATAACGTTTTCTTCCACTAAACAAAATTGGAATATTTTAACATATCACGGTGATTAAGAATTTATCATTTATCTAAAATCACTTTATATATGTATTTGAAACTTGCCCGGTTTTAATAAAATTGATATATATTGTCTATTGCGACATTATTTACTATATAGTTTTCGATTTTTTATACCAAACGATCAACCGTCTAATTTTTTTTTTTGAATGCAGCATACACAACTACAACAATAACAAAATATTAATTTGGAAATATCTTTTTGTTAATAATAGATCCAAAACATATGCACGTACGTGTGATATACATAAATGTTTGATTGTTTTTTCTTCGTAAATATAGAATGAATCCAGATGCTGGAAACCTTAGGGAACGCTAGTGTAATGTTCTTTCAAATATTCACTCTTACGATTAATTCAATAATTAGTAACAATTCGGAAAAAAAATATCTAATGGATCATCTCTTAACAAAGATAATGAAGACGTATTCATATAGTTTATCTAATTCGTATTGGATTCCAAAAACCAGATTAGATTTTAGGTAAGAATCCGGCTTGCATATCATAATTAGATGTGGCCGTTCAAGATTTGACAAATATAGGTTTATGATTTATCCCACTGCGACCACATTAATTTGCTTCCCAAGTGTGTAGTTTTAACTTTTAACGCATCACTAATATTTTATTCTATAGGCCTCTGCGCTAGTCTCTATTTGATACGCTACAACGTTATTGATGGTCGTTCGATAAATAATATTAACTCTGTAAACTGTCTAATTAACACATCAAACATTCATTACGCTCAATTGTAGTCGATCGTGGTAAGTGTTATTCAAAGATATGTGTGTCTTCTTATCGTCTATCTTCTTATGTTTTAATTTTATTTTCTTATGTCAGCCTGGTTGTTTCTAGATTCGTTTCCGTCCAAAGTACTTTTATATATTCAGAAGATATATTTATTTATTTTAAATATTTTTACTCCAAATTATTACTTGCCAAAAATCATTTCATTTTTCTTTGTGGAAAATCTAAAGAAGATAAGCTATTTTGTTCTTTGCTGCAGTTAGCTATTTATTGTTTGTAGAAGACAACATTGGCCCTTTCTATTTTTGTTCCTTCTTTTGTCCCAAACAAAAAACACTCTTCTTTATGTCTCCCCCTTTCACAATTATGATTTCAATCAATCAACACTAATTTGACCACAATCGCTGGAAATACAAAAAGTAATTTGTGGTGGCGAAAAAAATATATATACATAATTCTCCTGTTGTGTATACAACTTTCTTAAAATTTGATTTGAAAGTTTTTTTTTATGACAATAATTGAAGAAAATCACGAAGCGTGTCATCAAGAAATTGTTGGATTTACTTAATTCCAATGACTGAGGAAATAACCAAATCAACATAAACAAAAACAAATAATTAGACTACAAAACTTTTGTCTCTTTCTTTCTTTTGCATATTTTTGTCCCTATATATACGCACTAATCGCTTTCTTAAATGTATAGATGATTTTTACATGGATAGATACGGTTTAACTTCTACATATGAATACAATATATCATATTAATTAATACCTCAATTTTAATCTGAGATTATACATAGTTTGACAACCCATCATGTGTATGTATCTTATCTTTCATAAATCAAATAAGAAATTGTATTTTTTTTCTTACAAAGGAAGGAAATGGCGGGACCTCTATAATTTTCTAGAGGGTTAGTTTGTTCGTATTGTATTAATCCAATAAACAAGTAGAATAACCAATAAGATTGGACCAGAACAAGAGCTTTAACATATGCTTTTGCCTCCTCTTGGTCTCGACTCCACCACTATAAATAAAACTCTCTAACTCTTCCAATATCCCATCACCAAACATCACACTTCTCATAAGAAAAATACACAAACATCAATCAGATTTATAAATATTTAAAAACAAGATCAGCAAGATGCCTGCAATGTTAACAGATGTGTTTAGAGGCCATCCCATTCACCTCCCACACTCTCACCAACCTGACTTCACTTCCCTCCGTGAGCTCCCGGATTCTTACAAGTGGACCCCTAAAGACGATCTCCTCTTCGCCGCTGCTCCTTCTCCTCCGGCCACCGGTGAAAACATCCCTCTCATCGACCTGGACCAACCGGACGCGGCCAACCAAATCGGCCATGCATGTAGAACTTGGGGTGCCTTCCAGATCGCAAACCACGGCGTGCCTTTGGGACTTCTCCAAGACATTGAGTTTCTCACCGGTAGCCTCTTCGGGCTACCTGTCCAACGCAAGCTTAAGGCGGCTCGGTCGGAGACAGGTGTCTCCGGTTATGGCGTCGCTCGTATCGCGTCTTTCTTCAATAAGAAAATGTGGTCCGAAGGTTTCACCATCACTGGTTCCCCTCTCAACGATTTCCGTAAACTATGGCCCCAACTTCACCTCAACTACTGGTATATATTTTAAACACTCAATCCTATATACTTATACTTATATATGGGTGAATTTAAATTTGTATTTAAAAGTTTTTCTACATTAACGAAAACATTATAAATAAGGACACAATTTTTACATATAAGGTAGAACATCCACAAACGTTGGACGCCCTATAGGTAGTAACAAGGGGCATAGATAACAGAAGCAACCGAAATTTGCCATGTCCTCGGAGTTTAGTGGATTTAAGAGTCAAGTGCATAATGAAATCTAGTGTAGTAGTGGACCCACCTCAAAGATTTTGAAGATATATTTTTGTTATCGTATCGGAGAAAACAAAACCACAAAAACCCCAACTTGCTTTTCTATTTTCATTTTTATTCAAATATTTAATGTAGTCTAAATCTCATCTGTACTAATTAGATGAATACAATTCGTTTTTAATTAACAGCGACATCGTTGAAGAGTACGAGGAACAAATGAAAAAGTTGGCATCGAAATTGATGTGGTTAGCACTAAAATCACTTGGGGTCAGCGAAGAGGACGTTGAATGGGCCAGTCTCAATTCAGATTTAAACTGGGCCCAAGCTGCTCTCCAGCTAAATCACTACCCGGTTTGTCCTGAACCGGACCGAGCTATGGGTCTAGCAGCTCATACCGACTCCACCCTCCTAACCATTCTGTACCAGAACAATACCGCCGGTCTACAAGTATCTCGCGATGATCTTGGTTGGGTCACCGTGCCACCGGTTCCTGGCTCGCTCGTGGTCAACGTTGGTGACCTCTTCCACATCTTATCCAACGGATTGTTTAAAAGCGTGCTGCACCGCGCTAGGGTTAACCAAACCAGAGCCCGGTTATCTGTAGCATTCCTTTGGGGTCCACAATCTGATATCAAGATATCACCTGTACCGAAGCTGGTTAGTCCGGTTGAATTGCCTCTATACCGATCGGTCACATGGACAGAGTATCTTCGAACGAAAGCAACTCACTTCAATAAAGCTCTTTCAATGATTAGAAATCACAGAGAGGAATGATTAATCATGAGATAATAATATTTGTGATCCGCTAGTTAGTTTGATTAATAAATTGTTGTTAATTATTTCAGCAATATGATTGATTAGTTGTCCTCAATCGTATCTGAATTGCATTACATACATATCAATTATAATTCGCAAAAAAATCTAGCACTTTCTGGAATCGTCCCAAGACATGCTACCACTAATGAGAATCTCATCAAAATATGAAATTCTGCAATTATGCGTTGAGGGTCCCAAGAAATTCTATGATTGAAACACTAAAAAAAATCTATTTTATTGACATTAAGGATAAACTAGACGGTGTTATTTTCAGAATCCCACCACGATTCATCTTGTTTGGTTGCTATTTGTCAGATTGTCTGAAAATAAATTGACAAAGCACGTCTAAAGACAAGCCTATGTCTACTCTAAAAAGAAAACGAAAATGACGAAAACAAATTCATTATATTATCTTATCTTAATCAAGCAATATCCTCTGTCTCGATGTGTGCAGAAAAGAATATGGCCCATGCAGATTTATGGAACTTTTGGTGTTGATTGTTACTATTGATTAGACAAGAAATTAACCAGTATTTCGTATAATGAAGACTGCAAATGGAGTTATGTTTAAATTTCCACAACCAAACTGCAAAAAGAAGAAAGAAAAAGGATCAAGGGTAACTATTAGTCCAGGCCCATGATAATATAAACAAGGCCCATTGTAGAGACAAACAAAGACAAAATAGTATTTTACTATATAACCAAGCAGATAGAGAAGAGAGTAGACACATTGAGTTTCAAATATATATACACATGATAAAGGCAGACATTTTATTATAATAAGATCACGAAAGATGAATTTTGGTGGAAAATGATCAGGTTTGTGGGATGCCACAAAAGGCCTTGGTCATGGTACGATGAGCCTTGAGATGAGCTCCCAATGTTTCATAATACTCAAGAAGTCCATCATGGTGAAAGGGCTTGTACGCTAAAGGATGGTCCTTATCCACCATTTCTTCCGGTGTCGATATCATCCCTTTTTGGAACGAAAAGAACCCTAACGAGTACCTCATTTCCACGCTTTCCATCTCCACCTTGTGGTAACACGCCTTGATTCTGTCGTTGCTCCACGCCTGATGATTTAATATACACACATGATTTGACATTAATTATTATATGGAAACTTGGACCGATTGATAAATTTTAGCTTACCATGATGGCATCGCCTGCTATAACAACAAACCGAGTTGGTGAAGGAGTAAAAGGATACCAAACATCCTCTTTCTCGGATTTCAATATGAGTCCTGTGATATGATTCTGATGGAGAATGGAGATGAAGCTCTTGTCCGTATGAGAAATGAACTTCTTGTTGGGTTCTCCATTAGGGAGTCTCTTGTAATTCATCAATCGAAGAAGGTACCTTGTTCCTCCAATGTATTCCTCTGCATGCTTCTCCACGTTATAGCTCTCGAAGAGCATCTTTATTACCAGTTGCTCCAGTTCTGCTTGCATTTTCGCATATGCATGAACAGTTTCACTATAACATATCATATTGTTAATACATGCATGTAGTAACAACGACTTTTGATTATGTTATGTTGTTTGATAAACATATACCAGAAACGGTCGTTGTCATGATGATCATCAGACCACATGAGACGAGTGAATCGGCGGCACTGTTGGACATCGTTGACTTGGTCAATACCAATACCTTCGTGAACGAGCTGACCTTCGGAGATCATGGTGATGTAGCCGTGCCTGGCCTTGTGGTTCTCGTTCTTTATCTTGATTTCGGGAGGAAGATCGAGTAGTTCCTTAGCGGCCTCCAAAATCGACTGGTGAAGTTCCGTGGGAAAGTTGTTGTACTCAGCCACAAACCATCCATGGTGTTCCATGGCTTTACGGACAATGTCTCTCGTCGAGTTCCAAAGCTCTGTGTTCTGTTTTAGGTTCTTGTCAGAAAGGTTGATGATCGGAAGCTCTCTAGTTTCATTCCCACCCATTTTTAACTACCCTTAGCATCATAGTTAGTTAATAAGAAAAGAATTAGAAAAACCATATAATGTAATAAACTGTGTATTGTTCATAATATATGATCCATGAAAATAAATTCACAAAAAGCTTACCTTTTTTGCTAAACTCTTGGAAAGTTTTCGTTTACTTACTGATATGACTAATGTATAAACGATGATGTGTTTTATACTCGCATTGAAATATGCTTCATACGACAAACGCATGTAAAATGTCAGTTTGCATAGATGCTTTTTCTTGGCGTTTTGTCCGAATCAATTTTAAATCCACATGTCGCTATAAATATACATACACACATTGAAGTTAAAAAATAAAAAAGTCGATAAGGCCGTATTTGTGCGTTATTGGGCTAATTTAGGTCTAAAGGCACACGTAACTCAAATTACTCCAACCAAAGCCCATTATTGTATTTTTGAACCGAGTGGGGTTAAGTCTAAAATCTAATTAATTAACCGATCGAGACTGGGTTTGACATTTTTCTAATTTCTCAACTGTGAAAATACCTTTGACTTTCAAAAGCCGCCGACGTTGACCACCGTATCTCTCTATCTCACTTATTGCTTTGGTAGAATTTTTGGTTAGAGTCTTAGAGATAAGAAGAAACCTCGACGGTCTTATTATGCTTTCCCTTTCCCCAAATATTCACATTTCTCCTCTCACCGGAAAACTCTACACAGATGTGGTGGCAATGGCGGCGACGGCACTGGCCATCCCCTCCCCTCCTTGTCCTCATCTTTGCTGCTACTCTCCTCCCTTCCTCTTCCGCCATTGATTTTCTCTACAATTCCTTCAGCTCCGCAACCAACAGAACCGACGTAATCCTTATCGAAGATTCCCGCGTAGACTCCACCGTCATCAGCCTCATCAACGACTCCGATCCGCTCTCTTTCGGCCGTGTTTTTTACCCGCAAAAGCTCTCAATTATACCCGATCCAACACGAAACCCGACCCGACTCTCTTCTTTCTCAACTTCCTTCGTCTTCTCCATCCTCCCTGATATATCCACAAGTCCCGGCTTCGGCCTCTGCTTCGTCCTCTCCAATTACACCTCTCCTCCAGGGGCTATCTCCAGCCAATACTTCGGTCTCTTCACTAATGCCACCGTCCGATTCAACGCTCCTCTCCTCGCCGTCGAATTCGACACCGGTAGAAACTCTGAAGTCAACGACATCGACGATAACCACATCGGAATTGACCTTAACAACATCGAATCCACCACATCAGTAACCGCTGGCTACTACGATTCTGTTAATGGAAGCTTCGTTCGCTTTAATATGCGTAACGGAAACAACGTTCGAGCTTGGATCGATTTCGATGGCCCTAACTTCCAGATCAACGTTTCCGTCGCTCCCGTCGGTGTCCTTCGACCTCGCCGGCCGACGCTTACTTTCCGTGATCCGGTTATCGCTAATTATGTCTCCGCTGATATGTATGTCGGCTTCTCTGCTTCCAAAACCAATTGGAATGAAGCTCGAAGGATTCTAGCTTGGAGCTTGAGTGATACTGGAACTCTTCGAGAGATCAACACAACCAATTTACCTGTTTTCTTCCTGGAAAATTCTTCGTCTTCTCTTTCAACTGGAGCAATCACCGGGATTGTTATCGGTTGTGTTCTCTTCCTAGGTCTAATTGGATTCGGGGGTTATTTGATTTGGAGGAAACTAATGAAAGAGGAAGAAGAAGAAGAGATCGAGGAGTGGGAGTTAGAGTTTTGGCCTCACCGTTTCAGCTACGAAGAACTCGCTGCAGTTACGGAGGTTTTCTCTAACGATCGTCTTCTTGGATCTGGCGGATTTGGTAAAGTTTACAGAGGAATTTTGTCAAACAATAGTGAGATAGCTGTTAAATGCGTGAACCATGATTCGAAGCAAGGTTTGAGAGAATTCATGGCGGAGATCTCGAGTATGGGTCGGTTACAGCATAAGAATCTAGTTCAAATGAGAGGATGGTGTCGCCGGAAAAACGAGCTGATGCTTGTCTACGATTACATGCCAAACGGAAGTCTTAATCAGTGGATTTTTGATAACCCTAAAGAGCCAATGCCGTGGCTGAGAAGGCGTCAGGTGATTAATGATGTTGCGGAAGGGCTTAACTATCTCCACCATGGATGGGACCAAGTGGTGATTCACAGAGATATCAAATCAAGTAACATTCTTTTGGATTCTGAGATGCGCGGGAGGCTTGGGGATTTTGGTTTAGCCAAGCTGTATGAGCACGGTGGGGCTCCAAACACGACACGCGTGGTGGGCACGTTAGGGTATTTGGCGCCGGAGCTTGCGTCTGCGTCGGCGCCTACGGAGGCGAGTGATGTGTATAGTTTTGGTGTGGTGGTGTTGGAGGTTGTTTGTGGGAGGAGACCGATAGAGTCCGCGGAGGAGGAAGATATGGTGCTTGTGGATTGGGTTAGGGATTTGTACGGCGGAGGAAGAGTGGTTGATGCGGCGGACGAGAGAGTGAGGAGCGAGTGTGAGACGATGGAGGAAGTTGAATTGTTACTGAAGTTAGGTCTGGCTTGTTGTCACCCTGATCCAGCTAAGCGGCCGAATATGAGAGAGATCGTTTCACTTTTGCTTGGCTCACCACAAGAGGATTTGTTGACGGGACTCACGCCGGCCGCCGCCGCAGACTCTACGGCTGCTCACGCATGAGTTGTTTTTGTTTTCTTTACGTTGTTTTGTCTTGTGAGCAATAGTAAAGTTGAGGACTGATTTGATTTACACATGTTGGTCTATGGGCCAATAGGCTTGTTAATATTATTCAAAAGCCTATTTAGATGCCCATCAATGTTTCAGTCCAGAAACATAATCGTCCTTTTCTTGGACATAGAAGCGGCAATGTAATCACGGTATGAGTTGTGATTAGGAAAGGATTAATTGCATTCATTATTAAGTTGATTGGTACTGTAACAAAAATAATACAGGGAGGTTTTCAGAAGTTAAACTCACATTTTGGATGCTTTAAATATGGACCATGATAATATTAGTAATGCGTCAAACAAGGATGAAATAGTATTTCACTATAGAACCAAACAGAAAGAGAACGGTAGCCGTTTGAGTTTTGTAACACACCTACAAATTAGATAGGAACAGAATGTTCGACCAATAAATATGATTCGCAACAAGTACCAAATCACCTGTTTTATTTAATTAATTGGCCTACCAATAATTAATTGGTTTCATCAGCCAGCCTAAGCGACTTTCCGGTTTAGGACGTTCTCGATAAAATTGGAATATTTGAAAATGGCAACTTCTAAGAAAGTGGTGGTGTCGTTAGGGGTTTTGAGCATGTTAACGAAGACCAACTTTCAATTCATGGTCCAATTAGAATCTTCGACTCAGACTAATAAAAAAAAGAAAAGAAAAAAAACGGTCAACTGCACTGTACTTTTTCGTACACACGTTTACCATTAAAAAAAAAAACTCTATTTATGACTACCCTGATCCTGGTTACTAGCATACTTAATTTCTAAATTGAGAAGTCAATTTATATTTACACATAGCCTATTAAAACCCAACATATAACATTATTTGATTATCTCTTAAAATGCAGGTTTAGTTTTAAGAAATCAAAAGAAGATACTAAGACTATTATTTTATTATTTCAAAGATAAAAAAGTCCACAGAGGATACAATTCAATAAAAAAATGGTGGATTAGGAACAAGGGGGCTGCTAAAAGGCAACTTAACGAGAATCTTCAACGTCTAAAACTCTCACCATCTACATTCCTTTCTTTTCTCCTCACGTTACTATTTACATCTTTTCTCCCCTTGTTCTTATTTTGCATTTATCTCTAATCTTATTTTCTTGTGGAACACTTAATTTTAGAATTAGTAACTAATCATTTACATGCTAATAGTAAATTTTCGGGTAACACTCCGTTTTCTAAGCGTTAAATTGTAGTTTATAGCATTTGAGAGAATCCGAATTTTACCGTTGAAAGAATAAAAAGATGGTTAAGGAATCCAATTTCACTATTCTCTATCATTTTTCTACACCATGTAAATTTAGTTTATATGTAATGTAACTAATTAATATTTATTGATACAGTTGATGTAGCATAACAAGTATTCATTTTCAGCTATTTTGATCACTGAAACATACTAGTAATAATTCTTCCGGCAGCGTAATATGGTTAGTTGGACCTAATGCTTTTATATTTGTAAAGATCTGTATGCCCAAATTTAAGTTTCATGGTTGCATTTATAATGACAAAGACAAAAAAAACAGGACAATATGATTAATCCATAAGTATTGATGAAATAAAAACAACCATTTAAGATATTCACACTATACGATGATTCCTGAGAAACAGTTTTGACTTTAGTGTGGGATCAATTAATTACTTTTTAATTAACGTGCTGACGCAGTAGGGCTCCTTCTAGATTTCCCAGACAGAGTCACAGCTGACGTAATAGTTGCTTATTCGTAAATTCAAAAGCACACAAGGAAAAAGCGTAGAACGTTATTTTCTTCGTCACGTTCCGTCTCTGATTTTTCCACTTTGGTGAAGAAGAGACATGCATGTGCCCCTAAATTACGAATAGTGAAATCTCCTCAATGCATATATATACGGACCACAAACACAACATTCATTTCATCTTCCATCAACAATTTCTCTTCATATGTTTAAAAAGCTTATTCTTTAAACCATTTTATATTGGTTAATTCTTTAAATCTTTGATCTGACATAAACAAAAACAAAGAGAGAGAAGAAAAAAAGATAAGGCTTTGATTTCTTGGATACAAAATGGAGGGAACTAGTTTTCAGAAAGCGAGTAATAGTTTGAGAAGAAACTCCTCGGTGTGGAGGAAAGATTCAGGAATGGAGATTTTCTCGAGGTCAGTCTAGAGAAGAAGACGATGAAGAAGCTTTGAGATGGGCTGCTCTAGAGAAGCTTCCCACTTTTGATCGTCTCAGGAAAGGAATTCTCACTGCCTCACATGCCGGTGGAGCCATCAACGAGATCGATATTCAGAAACTTGGGTTTCAAGATACAAAGAAACTGCTAGAGAGGCTCATCAAAGTCGGTGACGACGAGCATGAGAAACTCCTCTGGAAACTCAAGAAACGTATCGATCGGTAAAAAAAACACTTCTCCTTTTAGTTTAGCTTTCAATCGAAACAGAGGAGCTCTGTTTTGTTTAATGTTCATTTCGGGACTAAATTTTATTGTGTAATAATGAAAATGACAGAGTTGGAATTGATCTTCCGACAATAGAAGTTCGGTTTGATCATCTAAAAGTTGAAGCAGAGGTTCATGTTGGAGGCAGAGCTTTACCTTCGTTCGTTAATTTCATCTCCAATTTTGGTGATGTAAGAATGCGTTTTTACTTCTTCTTCGTTTTATTTTATATACTCAAACAAAAACAAGATCTCTAACAGTGGATTTTTCGACAAAATTAACAGAAGTTCCTGAATACTCTGCATCTTGTTCCGAACCGGAAGAAGAAGTTCACTATACTCAACGATGTCAGCGGAATCGTCAAGCCTGGCAGGTGAATTTTCAGATTCCGGTTAACTATTTTAAAATCTTGAAAAGTATTTTAGTTATATTATATTGAGAAGTTGTTAAAAATACTTGAGAACTTGTTGACCGATCTTTGAATTCTACAGGATGGCTCTGCTTTTGGGTCCTCCAAGTTCTGGTAAAACGACCCTCTTGCTTGCCTTGGCGGGAAAGCTTGATCTTGAACTAAAGGTAACCAACTTTCCCTCCCTCTCTCTGTTTCAACTTCATATATGTTTTTTTAATCCTTTTGTCTATATGATTTGTGTGAATCAATTATAAATTTCGTTTTTTGGTCTTGTAGCAAACTGGAAGAGTGACATACAATGGTCATGGAATGAACGAGTTTGTGCCACAAAGAACAGCTGCGTATATCGGCCAAAACGATGTTCATATAGGTGAAATGACCGTTCGAGAGACTTTTGCTTATGCCGCTCGCTTCCAAGGTGTCGGTTCGCGTTATGGTGAGTTTGAACATTTCCTCGATTTCTATCTTCTCAAAATATTCGATTCGGTATGTTGATTTTGCTAACCGTCGATGTTTTGGTGACACATTAGACATGTTGACTGAATTGGCAAGAAGAGAGAAAGAAGCAAACATCAAACCTGACGCTGATGTTGATGTATTCATGAAGGTTAGTTTATCTCACTCCCGAAAAACTTTAACTTTGTAAGAATTTGGAGAACACAATCAGGTCATAATTCATTTTTGACCCAAAAAAAAACTTCATTACTCCATTTCAGGCGATGTCAACAGCAGGTGAAAAAACAAATGTGATGACAGATTATATCCTCAAGGTATAGTTTCATTCCAACTTTTTTTTATAAGAGAATTATCAAGTCTTGTGCTTGACATCATCTAAACTCTTTTGTAAATTTTACAGATCTTAGGACTTGAGGTCTGCGCAGACACTATGGTCGGCGATGATATGTTGAGAGGCATTTCCGGAGGACAAAAGAAGCGTGTCACTACTGGTGAAATGCTGGTTGGACCGTCTAGGGCTCTGTTCATGGACGAGATATCAACTGGTTTAGATAGCTCAACGACGTACCAGATAGTGAACTCCCTCAGAAACTATGTTCATATCTTCAATGGAACAGCTCTGATATCTCTCCTTCAGCCTGCACCAGAGACATTCAATCTCTTCGATGATATCATTCTCATTGCAGAAGGCGAGATCATCTACGAGGGCCCTCGTGACCACGTCGTGGAGTTCTTTGAGACCATGGGATTCAAATGTCCTCCAAGAAAAGGGGTCGCTGATTTCCTTCAAGAAGTAAGACTTTTATCATAAGAACACAATGATATGAGCGATTTTGTACCATGTCTTATACTTTAACAATCACTACTCTTGCAGGTGACATCAAAGAAAGACCAAATGCAGTACTGGGCACGACGTGATGAGCCTTACAGGTTCATCAGAGTGAGGGAGTTTGCAGAGGCGTTTCAATCATTCCACGTTGGCCGAAGAATCGGAGATGAGCTTGCTTTGCCCTTTGACAAGACAAAGAGCCATCCGGCTGCTCTAACCACCAAGAAATACGGAGTTGGCATTAAAGAACTTGTCAAGACCAGCTTCTCCAGAGAATACTTACTTATGAAAAGAAACTCCTTTGTTTACTACTTCAAGTTTGGACAAGTAAGTGATTACACATAATACCGATTCTTCACATCTTGCAATAAAATCTCCTTGTCTTCAAGACAGACTCATGGAAATGTTGTTGCTTGCTTCCTTGTGTTTACAGCTGCTGGTAATGGCATTTTTGACAATGACGCTGTTCTTTCGGACAGAGATGCAAAAGAAGACTGTGGTGGATGGGAATCTCTACACTGGAGCCTTGTTCTTCCTCCTTATGATGCTGATGTTCAATGGAATGTCTGAACTTTCAATGACCATTGCAAAACTTCCTGTGTTTTACAAACAACGAGATCTCCTCTTCTACCCTGCATGGGTGTACTCTCTGCCTCCTTGGCTCCTCAAGATCCCTATAAGCTTCATTGAATCTGCTCTGACAACATTCATCACTTACTACGTTATCGGTTTTGATCCCAACGTTGGAAGGTATATAAATATACCAAACAACTAAACATGGCGAATTTGGGTACTTGGAGCTAAGAGTTCTTCTGGTTTCTTGCTGGTTTATTGCAGGCTGTTTAAGCAGTATATTCTGCTTGTTCTCATGAACCAGATGGCTTCAGCATTGTTTAAGATGGTGGCAGCATTGGGAAGAAACATGATCGTAGCAAACACATTTGGTGCATTTGCGATGCTTGTCTTCTTTGCCTTGGGTGGTGTGGTACTTTCACGAGGTATGTGTTCATGCATATGTATCTGCATCCAGTTTCTAATATACTCACATCAAAAGCTCATCATTTCTTTCACATTAACCTGATCAAAACAGACGACATTAAGAAGTGGTGGATATGGGGCTACTGGATCTCCCCAATAATGTATGGACAGAACGCAATCTTGGCCAACGAGTTCTTCGGACACAGCTGGAGTCGAGTAAGTACCACCTTCCTCTGTCCACTCCAGATTCGGAAATCATTTTCCATGGTTTTGGTATTTCTTTTAGACAGGACTGATAGGTTGATTGTATTACAGGCTGTCCCAAACTCGAGCGAAACACTTGGAGTTACTTTCCTTAAGTCTCGTGGGTTCTTACCACATGCATACTGGTACTGGATTGGAACTGGAGCCTTACTTGGGTTCGTCGTGTTGTTCAATTTTGGTTTCACGCTGGCTCTGACGTTTCTGAACTGTACGTAATCATTCCGTTTTGCATGATCACATCTTCTGATACAAAAGCTGTTTTCTTAAAATGAACAATCCCTGTGAACTTTGTTTTCGTACAGCCTTGGGAAAGCCTCAAGCTGTTATTGCAGAAGAGCCTGCGAGTGATGAGACAGAACTTCAGTCGGCTCGGACAGAAGGTGTAGTTGAAGCTGGTGCCAATAAGAAAAGAGGAATGGTGCTTCCATTTGAGCCACATTCAATTACCTTCGACAATGTTGTATACTCAGTTGACATGCCCCAGGTAAAAACCTTGCTCGAGGATTTCGTATCATCATTAATGCAAGTAACTTCATAATGATCTTTACTGTGGATTCTTTTTCACAGGAAATGATAGAGCAAGGCACACAAGAAGACAAACTTGTCCTGTTGAAAGGTGTGAATGGTGCATTCAGGCCAGGCGTGCTTACGGCTCTCATGGGTGTCTCTGGAGCTGGAAAAACCACTCTGATGGATGTTCTTGCCGGAAGGAAAACCGGTGGTTATATTGATGGCAACATCACCATTTCTGGTTACCCTAAGAATCAACAAACATTTGCTCGTATCTCAGGATACTGTGAACAAACTGATATCCATTCCCCACATGTCACTGTTTACGAGTCCTTGGTTTACTCAGCCTGGCTCAGATTACCTAAAGAAGTTGATTCAAACAAGAGAAAGGTTATTCAGAGACATATTCATTTCCAGAAGTAAAAATGAGGAAATCGAAACTATACTAACAATTTTTGTTTGTTTGGTACAGATCTTCATAGAGGAAGTGATGGAGCTGGTGGAGTTAACGCCGCTGAGGCAAGCACTGGTTGGACTACCTGGTGAGAGCGGTTTGTCAACAGAGCAAAGAAAGAGACTGACCATTGCAGTGGAGCTGGTTGCAAACCCTTCCATCATCTTCATGGATGAACCTACTTCAGGATTGGATGCACGAGCTGCTGCCATCGTTATGAGGACTGTGAGGAACACAGTTGACACTGGCAGAACTGTCGTCTGCACCATTCACCAGCCTAGCATCGACATATTTGAAGCCTTCGATGAGGTACTTACAAATTACTTTCAAAACAAATATTAAAAAGAACATTTAATCATTTATTAACATGTTCGGGTATACGCATATATGCAGTTGTTCTTACTTAAGCGTGGAGGTGAGGAGATCTACGTTGGACCTCTTGGCCACGAATCAACCCATTTGATCAACTATTTCGAGGTAATATATTCGACTGAAATAATCACACTATACTTGAATTTGTTTGGAAGACCAGCAAAACATGGACTGAAAATGTCGACTCTGCAACAGAGTATTCAAGGAATCAGCAAGATCACAGAAGGGTACAACCCAGCAACCTGGATGCTTGAAGTCTCAAACACATCTCAAGAAGCGGTTTAGGAGTCGATTTCGCCCAACTCTACAAAAATTCAGAACTTTACAAGTAAGTATACATTCACTGTCAAGAAGGTACACAATTTACAGCAGAATCTGATCTCACCAATAAAATCTCTCTTATAGGAGAAACAAGGAGCTTATCAAGGAGCTAAGCCAGCCAGCCCCAGGATCAAAAGATCTGTATTTCCCAACACAATACTCACAGTCGTTCTGGACACAATGTATGGCTTCTCTATGGAAACAACACTGGTCCTACTGGAGAAACCCACCTTACACCGCTGTGAGATTCCTCTTCACAATCGGCATTGCTCTCATGTTCGGCACAATGTTCTGGGACCTTGGAGGCAAAACGTAAGCAAAAAAAACTCAGCAAATTATGGACTTTCAGACAAAACAAAACTCCTTATTGACCAAATTCTAATCTTTTCACCTGCAGGAAAACGACACAGGATTTATCCAATGCAATGGGTTCAATGTACACAGCTGTTCTCTTCCTCGGATTACAAAACGCCGCTTCAGTGCAACCAGTCGTCAACGTCGAAAGAACTGTCTTTTACCGAGAACAAGCTGCCGGAATGTACTCCGCCATGCCTTATGCTTTCGCTCAGGTACTAAAAAAAACATCCGAGAGAGTGAAATTCACGATTTTTTTAACACAGAATCCTCAAATTCATTCTTCGATTGTCCAGGTTTTCATCGAGATCCCATACGTTTTCGTGCAAGCGGTGGTGTACGGTCTCATAGTGTACGCGATGATAGGGTTCGAGTGGACGGCGGTGAAGTTCTTCTGGTACCTATTCTTTATGTACGGATCATTCTTAACTTTCACCTTCTACGGAATGATGGCTGTTGCTATGACGCCTAACCACCACATTGCCTCCGTCGTCTCCTCCGCTTTCTACGGCATCTGGAATCTCTTCTCCGGCTTCCTCATCCCTCGTCCCGTAAGTCCCACCTTTATTATTATTTATTTCAAAATGGGCCATTAACTTATTTAATTTTACGTTTTGACCCTAAACTTTTGTATGAAACAGAGTATGCCTGTATGGTGGGAATGGTACTACTGGCTTTGCCCAATTGCATGGACATTGTATGGATTAATCGCATCACAGTTCGGTGATATTACAGAACCTATGGCGGATGGTACGAGTGTGAAGCAATTCATTAGAGATTTCTATGGATATAGAGAAGGTTTCTTGGGAGTTGTCGCCGCCATGAACGTCATCTTCCCATTGCTCTTTGCCGTTATCTTTGCTGTTGGAATCAAGAGTTTCAATTTCCAAAAACGATAGACAGTTTATTTTTTGCAATTCTATTTCCTGTAACAGTTTATATGTTATTCTTTCTCTTTTTTGTAATGCCGCATTGATAAATAAAAGGATGATCAACAACACTGGATGTAGATTGAAGCCTCTAACTAATGTTACATACAGAGTAGTTCCTATTTTATAATAAGTGTTACAGACAAAACAAAGCCAAGTATAATCCCGTTTTCCTGTGTTAATAACCTTAACAATCCCATGACGCGTGTATTCCTGCTCTTTTTCCATTCTAATCTCCACATGAACATTCTCCATCTTTAAAGTGGTGGAAATGCTCAGAATCTCTAACAGAGATTTCTCTTCTTACTGTTTTGGAGATGAACTTTACTGTATCATGGCAACTTTCACACATATTGAGATTCTTTGTTACCCAAATAGGCATTCCTGGGACCGTGTTGATCAGACCGAATGCAATGGCCTTTCTCTCGCTATGTCCACAAAATATCTCATCCCTCGAAGTCTCTGTCTCATCCATAGAACTTGATTCTGAACTTGTAGTTAGCCCAACTTCACTCATTTTCTCATAGAACCCCTCTAAAACAGTGTTGATCTCTTTTGTTTGAGGATGGTACTTGTCATCGCTAAGAAAGGCATGAACTTTACCCTTTACTTCAACCCAACTGCATCCTGCATCAACTGTTAGCCCGTTTTCTTTCATCATTCTTCTCACTTTTGCAACTTCTCTCCATTTTCCACAATCAGCATACAGATTACATAACAGAATGTAATACCCAACACTTTCTTTGTCCAGCTCAAATATACGCTGCGCTGATAGCTCACCAAGATCAATGTTGTGGTGAATCCTGCAAGCGTTAAGCAAAGCTCCCCATACGGCTGGATCTGGTGTTACTGGCATTTTCTGAATAAACTTGTGTGCTTCTTGTAACTCGCCTGCACGGCCTAGCAAATCAACCACGCACGCATAATGCTTCAAGTTTGGGGTAACACCATATTCCTCCATTTTGCTAAAGTACATCAAACCTTGTCTCACCATTTGGGATTTGCCACAACCACATAACAATGAGATGAATGTAATCTCATCTGGCCTTACTCTGGACTTGACCATTCTATCAAATAACTCTACCACCACCGACCCTTGACCCCGCTCTGAATATCCAGTAAGAAGAATGTTCCATGATGAGACATCTTTTTTCTGTGAGTTGAACTGATTCCAAGCAATGTTCATTCTCCCGCACCGTACATACATGTCTAAGAGTGCATTTGGAAGAAAATCATCAAGCCCCACTCCTGTTCTCAGTACATGGGCATGAATCTCTTTCCCACACATCAGAGCCCCGATTCTAGCACAAGCTGCTAATGCAGCTGTTAAGGTTATTGCATTTGGCTGCAACGTCATTTTCATCTGCCGGAAGAATATCAAGGCCTCAAAACACCGGTTGTTGAGTCGAAGCCCTGCAATAATCGATGTCCAAGATATTACATTCTTGCGGGGGATGTTATGGAAGATGTCCAAGGCCTTATCAATGCATTTGCACTTTGAGTACATATTAATGAGATTGTTTGCAACAATCACATAGGATATGAGCCTTGCCTTAATCGCAAGCTTATGGAGCTCAACACCTGTGTCAAGATCACCTAGAGTAGCACAAGCAGATAGAACAGCAGCTACTGTTATCTCATCTGGCTTCACAGAATCTTGATCCATCATTCTGTAAGTGTCTATGGCCTTCTCGGGCAGAAAATTATACTCATAGCCTGAAATCATAGTAGTCCATGACACAATGTCTTTGCGCTCCATTCTGCTGAACAGTTTTTCAGCTTCACGCCATGACCCAGCATTTAAGTACATCTGCGTTAACGAGTTGCAGACAGATATGTCAACAGCGAAACCCGTGGTTATCACATAAGCATGAATATCCCTTCCTAACCTTCTATCTCCAAGAAGCTCACAGGCAGAGATAACACTTGTCAAGGTCATCAAATCAGGATCAACGGAAAGCCCACGCATTGTAAAGAATAACTTCAACCCTTCATGACACATCCCATTCTCAAAATACCCCGAGATCATTGCGTTCCACGAGATTATATCTCTCCTGGGCATTCTATCAAAAAGCAACCTCGCGCTCTTCACATCACCACACTTCACATACATAGTAATCAAAGCGTTTACAACATCAATATCCAATTCATACCCGTATCGAACCACATGAACATGAACCTCTCTTCCTCGAGCTAGATCAGGTATACCTCCACAGGTTCTCAATACACAGGGGAACGTATAGACATCAGGCTTCACACCACCAACCCACAACATTCTATGATACAAACAAATCGCCTCGTCGAAATAGCCTTGCTTTGCGTAGCCACCAACCAACACATTCCAAGAAAACAAGTTTCTCTCAGACATTTTACCGAAAACATACCAGGCATCAACCAAATTACCAAACCTCACAAACATAGCGAGAAACGCGTTACCGAGTTCAACACCCAGACTGCTCATAGAACTGAGAGCAATAGAATAAACCTTAGAGCCTTCCTCATGTGCTCTCTTCCACTCGCAAAGCCTGACCAAAGCCACAAACACATCTTCGTCTACCGCAACCCGCAACTCCTGCATAGAATTGAGAAGCTTCATAGCTTCCTCCAGCTTCCCGTTCGCGCAAAGCCCATGTAATTGAGAATTCGAAAAGTGGGTACTGCTAGAACTCGAGCTAAGAACAGATAATCCTCGAGATTTTCTCAAGAAAAGTTTCCGAATTCCAAAATTCCAATAGAAATTAACGTTTCTGTGTTTATGAGCCTTGCTCTGGAAAGAGTTGGACTTGCCTGGATTGAGATAAACGTGAGGACTTTGAGCAGAAGACGCCATCGTAGGAGAGACAGAGCAAAGAACATGGTCACTCTCGTTGAGGTTTTACATTTGGGGTTTTAAGGCAACAAGATAAAGTCGACAAATTTCTTCTTAATTAACGGATGATCTTACACTTCAAAACTGTGTCGTTTTAGTTTATTCAAAATTTTGTTCACTTAACTTCAGTGTTAGTTCTCTAGTTCTAATATCACAATAACGATTCAAATGTGATATATTGAGCTGAATCAATACAGAGAGGAACGATAAGATTATTGAACTTGAAAATTTTATTAGTTTCGTATTGGTAATCAAGAGAACAACAACAACAACGAAAAAAGCATATAACTAAATGATTAATTATAGTCTTCTTACTATCAAAATCTTACTCCAGACCAAAACCTTAAAACCCTCACATAACCAATCCCCAAAACCCTTTTATTCATCATCGCCTAAATGCCAGTCGAAGTAGATTTCTCCGATAGTTGGCTCGTAGATTCTCCTGGTGGCGCATCCTCCTGAGATACAACAGGAATCTTGACTGATGAAGCTCTCTCCATTTCCTTCTCAAGCTCTTCTTCAGACATGAGAGTGTTGAACTGTCCCTCCAGCGATTTAGCTGCGGCTAACCATGCAGTGACTATACCGAGCAGGATGATTCCAAGGTAAGGTGTGGAATTGGCGAGTGAGCCGAATGTAAGGATCATGAACTGCTGGATTAAAGCACCGCCTGATTTCCCCAATGGGTTGCAGACCACATCAATTGCAGCTTTGCCTTTAACCTGTAAATCAGTGGCACAAACCGCAGTCTGTAAGAACATAAGATCAAAAGAATGCAACTAACTTTCTTGAAGAGAAAAAGTGAGAAACCTTGGTGTCCTCGTCCAATGGGATATAAGCCATTTCTTTGCAAGGATCGAACAAGCTGTACTTGGCGCTCTTGCTGAAGATATTCTGGAGGGCACCAACATACACAGCTGCGAGTAGCGGTGTCATACCAAGCTTAGCAACAAGTGGTGCGAATGGGCCACCAAACAGTATCAGCGAGAAGAAGGCAACGCCGGTCAATAGCAGAACGGTTGGCGTGATCTTTGCAGCTACTCCCCAACCATACTTCTTAAACACGTACTGGCTTAGAAGCATCATTGTGAACGTTGCTATGCCCGTGCAGGTCGAGAAGTCACCCATAAATGCTGAGTATTCGTTCGGGCTAGGGAACTGCATTCAAATAAAGGATTTTCAGGTTCTTAGATGAAAAGTATAGTAGTAGTAGTAAGTAATAATTTTTGCATGAGGATTTTGTTAACCTGAGCTTTAAGCTTTGATTTCCATGTGACTTCAACAAGGTTGATACTAATTCCATATGCAACCACCAAAGTAGCAAGATCCCTAATGTATGGTGATGACACCAAGAACTTCAAGCTCTCCATTGTTCCCATCTGTGGTTTCACCTGAAACAAATCAGAAGAAACCTCATAAGCTGCATGTTTAATTACACACAACCATTAGTAGTTTGTATGTTCAGCCAATTTATTACCTTCTTCTTCTTGCTACGGGTTGGGAGGGGCACATATCTATTCACCCACCAGTAGAGGAAACAGATGGCGAGACCCATCCCCACGACAATACTCATCATGGCTTTCAATGAAACAGCCCAGCCATCAACTCCAGGACCAAGATTCTTTCTCATATTAGAGAAATATTTCACAGTTCTTCCTGAGAAAATAAGTGCAACATTGGCCCCTAGTCCAAACAGAGGATAGAACTTTTTGGCTTCGTCAACAGTTGTAATCTGCCACCAAAAAAGATTGCATGCTAGTTTAATTCACACATAGCAAAGATATTGACTCAAAAGGGTTCCAAATCTTCAAGGACTATCAAAGCTATACCATGAGTCTATGACTAGCAGTAGCAGGAAAAAGAAAAGTGTAATCACCTGATTGGCAAATCCCCAGAAGAGAACTGAAACCACAACACTACCCCAAAGCTCAGCCATGACATAGAACAAACAGAAACTCCAAATCCGCATGATTGCGAGAGGACCCATGAATCTGGGGCCGAGGGTTGCAAGAAGCTTATCAGCAAGAGCTTCAGGGTGAATCAAATTGCTGAGAGGGTACATCACGAAACCAAAGGCTCCAAAGTAGACAATGAAAGGGACAATAACAGTGTAAAAGAGAGCCTTTTTGGAGAGAACATTGGAAAGTTTGGTGTATAGCAACATGAACCCAATAGCCATCGGAAGATTCACCCATGTCTTCAAAAAAGGTATAATCTCAGCAGAACTTCCTTTAGCCGTCACCACCAAAACATCCTTCGTGTCCCTAAGGATTGTGTAATTGAAAAGAATGCAAAAGAACATTAGCCCTAAAGGAACAATCTTCTTCAAAGTCGTAACCTCCACACCAAAAATCTTAGGCGACGCCGAAATCGCCGCCGTGTCTCCTCCGTCGAACACATTTCCGTCTCCGGCCGCCGCAGCTTCCGCCTTGCAGATGAATCCTCTGCTTCTCTCCTTGTGGGAAACCGAAATCCCATGAGGGATTGACTGAAAGGCTTGAAATTTGTTGTGCCCATTAGAGGATAAGGACAAGGCAGGTAAGTTTGTGGTGAAAAGTCTTTGCTTTAAGCCATGAGAGGGTTGAAGAAGCCTTCTCGCTCCGATGGGTTTTGCGGGTAAAGAGAGAATTCCTCTGGTTTGAATCAGACCTTCCATCTCTCTATCTCTCTTGAACACTGAGCAAAAACCCAGAGAGTAAGGGGATATAGGAAGGAAGAGATAGAGAGACGATAAGGTGACTCTCTCTGGGTAGAGAGAAGAGAAGAGAGTTGTTGTTTAATTTAGACAGTGGGAGTGAAATAATATCTGAAAATGGGCGGATTTTGGCACCGAGGACAAAACAAAACCCTAAAACTGGGTTCTTAGTTCTTACCGTCTAATTATGTTCGAAGCAAATCCTTGTAATTAATAAATTTAATTGGTCTGAATATTTTGAAGATTTTTGTAATGACGTGCTTACTTCACATATTTCGTCAAATGGACTTGATATATATAAAAATTTGCAACTTGTGTAAACTGTGCCCAATATAATCGTATTTTATTGACAATTAAGGCATGTATTTTTCCACTAAAGATAGCGATTTTATATGAATAAAAATGATCCACTGGCGTGCATCATTCTCTTCCTCTACTTTATTTGATAGAATTACTTGAGAACCTTTGTGTTTAGTAGACATAAACCACTAAACCAGCCACTTTGATTGCAGAAATTGCAGCAATAAAAAACATCCTAATGTATGTTGACCCAAAAAAATAGAGAGATTATGTGTGTAAAACTGGATATAAGAGCATGAGCATATATGGTTTGCATAAATTTGATCTCAACCATTGTTAGCAAATCGTTAATGTTTCAAATGGCAAAAAGATGTCTAATCATTTAAGAAATTCTAGAACTTAGTATGAGTTTATCTGAAATCCACTGGTAATATGTATCAAAGTTTTACTTTCTTTTACAATTAGTTTAGCATTGGATGTATAAAATGAATCTCAATCTTGCTATGCACTTATTTCCAAAAGAAGAAGATGATTAGTCGTGTAGTAAATTCAGCTCAGGAAACAAAGAGAGATCTAAAAAGCTAATGAATCGATAAGATTTTTGATGAAAACGAGGGAGGAGGGCTTCGATATACGTGTAACCAACTTGGGAAATGGCTCCAATGGGGTGTTGTTGGGACTGTGAAGATCACTTCATCTTTGATTCTTTCCCCTCGAATCAGAAAAACTCCAAAACAAAACGCAAAAAGTGGGGCTCGTTTTGATGAATTGCGTCTTATAAAGCTCCACGTCGCATCAAAATCAGCGATATGTCAGATTCAGAAGAATACAGAGGTCTAGTAAGTTACCCACGTGAAGCCCAGCCTCCTTCCTATATTTTAACAAATTGGGCTTTCTCTTTTAAACCCAATTATGAAGCCCATAAATAATTCCCTCGCAACCGGGTCAGCTTGTTTAATTCCATCCTTTTTGCATTTTTGCAAATAATAAACCTCAGCTTCTTTCAAAATTGGCGAAATCATCCATTTTCAAACAGATAAAAAATGTCATAATATGTCATTCAGATATCATAAAGTTTTTGCTTTTGTTTGTTGTTGGGTCCCTCTATAAACGGAACATTTTAGATAAAGAAGAGATTTGAAATTTTGAAAAGTTGGTGCTAACCGTCGATTCCTCACTTTTGTTTCATTACAGAAAAATATTAAATCCGTCCGATTAACAAACACTTCTTTTTCTTTTTTTCTTACTAAGAAGAGACTACTTTTGATATTCGTAAATATATTGCATTTCTAACGATGGTCGTGTAAACATGTCATCATACGACTTTTTATTATGGTTTTTGGTGCGCTGTAGTTGTCAATAGATAAATTTGTTATGGATCCTTCTCCTTTCTTTAGTACCCAAATGGCCGAGCTGCTTTCCTTTGTTAGCTACAAGCCTACAACTACAAATCAATATTAGTAAAGTTTTTTTTTTTTTTTTTTCAATATTAGTAAAGTTACTTATATCTTACAACAAAAATAACCTTTCTCACATTAAAAATTATACGGATGGAAATGAAAATGACATGGCATTATGTCCTAAATGGAAATCTTAATTATAACTGTCTTTTTTCGTCGACTAATTTATAATAGGAAAATTAGGTCACAAATAGATATTCGGATATTTGCGCCTTTGCGGTATCTATTATTTATTTACTCGCTTTATTACCAGCTTAACTAAAGTTGACAAAGAATGTATCTATCATACAAGGAGGAGAATAAACATTTAGTTTAAATAATTACACATAACTAATTTCTCTAAGCTGTATTTCATGCTAAATTGGAGTAAAGTGCGAAAACTCTTTCGGCGACATAGAAGAAAAAGTTAATATAATGTTTATTAAACTTAAAACAAGGGGTAGAATTGTCCAAAGAAAAGATTTGACAGCAGTCCGAGCAGAGACGGCTCAGACCAAGTTGTCAAGTTTTTTTTTTTTTTTTTTTAATTCTGTTTTGTTTATGAATTCGTAAACAAGAGAAATTAAAATACATTAATCACTGGCTATTCGAGACTGAACAAATTAAATGCATGTTTTATAATTGTGTAAATTATTTTTAGTCAACTAATATTAAGTAATTCTTAAAACACTGAAAACTGAAAAGTACAGTAATCACTTCCTTATATGATTTTTTAACCAAAAAATTGAAAATAAAATAACACGTCGTGCAATATTAATGTTACTTTAAAAAAGAATGGTTGAAGAAGAAAAAAAGAAGAAGAACAGAAGAAAACGGAGGTTTTTGTTTCTGGAGAAACCAAAAAGTTCATTTTGTTTTTTCCTTTTTGCCTTTCCTGCGATTCTGAAAATCTCTCTGCTTCAATCTCTTTATCAGAATCGTAGCAATGGCGTCGTCACCTTCTGAGCTTTGATCCTTCTTTCTTTCTCCTCGTTTGTGAAAAGAGACTTAGTATTTATCCATCATCGTTGTTACCGCCGATCTGTCGCCGGCAGATGGCAAAACCATTACTTTTATCTCGAATTTACCCTGATTCATTGGATTGTTGGTCGTTCCTGTTCCTTCTATCTAGGGTTTCAACTCCGGCATAGAAAGGATCTGATTTGGTTAATCAAAGCCCTTTTTTGGAGACACATTGTAAATTTGAATTGGTGAGGGAGGAGGAGGAGTTACAGCCGTCCGATTGGGGTTTGAACCGATTGAAGCGGAGTTCTCCAATCGGAGAGGATGGCAAAAAGTTGGCTTTTGGTTGAAAAGGCGAGAAGATGTTTGAGGACGGTGTTTTTCATGGTTGCAATGTTGGCTTCTCTACTAGTTTCGTCGTTGCCGTTGTTAGTAGCTATAGGTGATGTGTTGGTCCCGAGCTTCTTGTTGTCGAGCTTTACTTGCGTGACGTGTTACGGCGCCAAGGAGCATCTGAGGCGATACGGTTTCAAGAGATCTTTAACTGATATTCCTATCGTCTCCGTTGCCAGATCTTTCCTTGTCATCTGTAAGGACATAACATTGCGTTTTCTTGCTCTTATTTTGGCAAATGTTTGATCTTTATGGATTTGTCGTATTAAAGTTTTGGTCTTTGGCTGTTACTGCTCTAGCTCTATGTGTTGAATTAGCTCTCATAGATGGGAATGATTGATTATCAAGTCTGCTCTTTTAATGATCATTAGTTGTAAATTTCGTGAACAGGTGTCTATTTGCTCTCGGACGTTCCTGCCCTCTCGCACGGTCCTTACCTAGGAACTGTCTCTCTGTGTTCTGTAGTTTCGGTTCTTCTTCTGTCAGTTAAAGCTTGCCTTTTCACTGTTAATTCTCAACTCAACAACGAAGCCTCGTTCTCTCCATCTAGGCAACGGCTCCATCTGAAGAAGTCATGGGGGATGCCGGTTTTGTTCCTCTCATCTGTGGTTTTTGCCCTTGGTCATACGGTTGTAGCATACAAGACAAGTTGCAGAGCAAGGAGGAAAATTTTGTATCACAGAGTTGACCCTGAAGCTGTGAGTTTTTGTTCTTTCGTTCTCGTGTATCTCGTAAATAGCGGTCATTTGCTTTGTTTTTTTGTTTAAATGGATTGTGTGTGACAGGTTCTTTCATGCAAAAGCATCTTCTATGGCCACCAGAAAGTCCCGCGGTCACCCACTCCTGTGGTTGGCAAGGCCTCCAAGTTTGATGGAGAAGCAAGGCGAAAGCCTTTGTCCCACGATGAAGGAGAGCTTCCAGTGAGATTGCTTGCTGATGTTGACAGTTTATTCATTACAATCCGAGGGCTCACTGTGCATTATAAGCTTTGTGCACCTGGTTCGCCTCGGCAGTCTATCTCCTCAAATGTTCTCGATGCCAATTCTAGTTACAATACGCCAGAGACAATGGCAGGAAGGTTGAAGTTTGACAGGAAAGTGTCGAGCATGGTTACGAAAAGCCAGCATCATCATCACCACAGGAGCTACAGCAGTTTGTTTAACAATTCTTCATTGCACGACCCTCTTCTTGATGGTTCTCCTACTTCTCCTCTTCTTTTCAAAGAAATTCAGGAAGGAACGAGCCTAGAGGATAACATGAATGTGTTCAATTTTGGAGCTGAGGAGCAAAACTTGAGTGAAAGTGGTCAGTTTGGTGTGGTCCTGGTTCATGGATTTGGAGGAGGAGTGTTTTCTTGGAGGCATGTGATGGGTTCACTGGCTCAGCAGCTCGGCTGTGTTGTCACCGCATTTGATAGGCCTGGTTGGGGATTAACAGCCAGGCCACATAAGAATGATTTGGAAGAAAGACTGCTGCTCAATCCTTATACACTTGAAAATCAGGTATTTGTCTCCTCAATATTGAAATTATACCTTAATTGGGGATTTGTGTTCTCTCAGGCTGTCTCTTTGACAAAAATAATATCTGGATCTTCCAGGTAGAAATGCTTATTGCTTTCTGTTATGAGATGGGGTTCTCTTCAGTAGTATTTGTTGGTCATGATGATGGAGGTTTACTTGCTCTCAAAGCTGCACAAAGATTGATAACAACAAACGATCCCATCAAAGTGAGTAGACTTTTTAATCAGATGTATAGTTTCCAGGCTTATCTCTTTTACTTTCTAATCCTAGTTGGTGCTGATATTTTCTAGGTCGTGGTCAAAGGAGTTGTCTTGCTTAATACTGGCTTATCAAGGGAAGTAGTTCCAGCTTTTGCAAGGATACTTCTGCACACCTCACTAGGGAAGAAGCACCTCGTTCGCCCTCTTTTACGCACTGAGATAGCTCAGGTGGTGAATCGCCGCGCTTGGTATGATCCTGCCAAGATGACTACAGACGTCCTAAGGCTATACAAGGTACCCTATCTCCTTCATTACTATACATCAAAGATGCCTACAAATATTTACAAATTTGGTGGACATGTATCAAATAATGTGCTTCCCTCTTGTCAGGCCCCACTACACGTAGAAGGCTGGGATGAGGCATTACATGAGATAGGTAGACTCTCATCTGAGATGGTGCTTGCACCTCAAAATGCAGCTTCGCTTCTGAAGGCTGTGGAAAACCTGCCAGTGCTAGTCATTGCTGGGGCCGAAGACGCCCTTGTGCCATTGAAGTCCTCCCAAGCAATGGCATCTAAACTTCTAAACTCTGTAAGTCCTCTTTCTGACACAAGCTCTCTTATGCCAGCTACGGTTTGTTTTCATGTCAAAATTGGAACTGACATTCATTCGTGTCAACAACAGAGACTAGTAGCAATCTCAGGATGTGGGCATCTACCACATGAGGAGTGTCCCAAGGCGCTTCTTGCAGCCATGTCCCCGTTCATCACTAGACTTGTACTTAGGCCAGATCTCTAGAGTCAATAGCCAGATGTCTTCTTTTCCTTGTCGTCTTCTTAGCTTACAATCGATTAGTGTCGCCCAAAAATTTGAGGCCCTGCTAGGTAAATTCATCTAAATAGTGTTGTAACCTTTCGTTTCTCTTGTGTGTTTTATATGATTCGAGGGTATTTTTCTTTATTAAACACTTGAAGATGAGTGTGGCACAGAATCGTGCATGTCTCTGTAAATTTATCCGGTTTGGAATACAAAGTAAATTGCTTTCCTTAAAACTCACCACCATTGTAATAATATTAAGTGGCAAGAACGGAACTAAATAAAAACCATACCATCCGGCACAGAAGCAACCAAACAGAGTTTATATATCAGGAGGACTTATTTAAACTAAGCTACTGAAGTTTCTACCAACATAGATAAAAGGTTGATCAATCAAACCAAAGATTCACAAGGCGGATGATGTTGTAGCTGCAGTTCAACTCAATCAAGGAGATCGGAGAGAGGGGTCTTCTTGAAGGGATCGGTTTTAATGAGCTGAGCAGCTAATCCTTTGTTGGGGAAGATGTTATCAGCTTTCATTCTATCCTTCATTCCATAAGCTGGAGCTTTGGCATTGACATAAGCTTGGATAAGGGCTTGGTACGTCCTGAGGCGAGATTGATAGCCAGCTTGCTTCATCCTCTGGAAGATTTTCTCTGTGTTGTGAACATCACCCCTTCTCACATACTCGCCCATTACGTACATGAAGGAGCTCATCAACGGTTTAATCTGTTTCGACTGTATTGCCTTGCTCAGTGAAGACTCAGCCTTTTCTACTTCCCCAGCTTCCACATAGAGCTTGATCACCGCATCCCATGTTAAGGCCCCAATATTGCAACCGCTGTCCGACATCTGCTTAACAAGATCCTTACCCTCTGAGACCATCTTGTGATCGACGTAAACCCTCAAGAGAACGGAGTAAACATTAGAAGAAACTCTATGGGACATCTTCAACATCTGCTCAAAAACCGCCTCTGCTTCTTTGATTTTATCGATCTTTCCAAAAGCCAAGATTGCAGCAAGGGACTCTTTATAACGGGGTTTTTCTTCACAGATCTTCCAAATTCTGGTCACTTCATCCGCCCGCTGGAGAAAGCCATAGACGGAAAGCAAATCCTTGCACACATGCCGATTTTCCTCCAAGCTTTCACCTTCCATCTCTTTCAGCACTTTCTCAGCCTTCTCTTTAAGCCCAGCTGATGCATAGTTTCTTGCAATGAGAGCTCGTGCACGAAGGTCAAGCTCAACACCTTCACTTTTCATTGTCTCCACAATTTGTTCCATCCCAGTTATGTCATTTGATAATCCTTTGGTATCAATCAGGATTTTGTATGTGTTAAGATTCGGCTTCAGATTTTCCTTCTCCATCAGCAATAACACATCGGCTATTTTCTTCTTGTCGACCCTCTTGTAAAGAATAAGCATCTGATTACAGGTAAATGTTGACAGAGGGAATTCCAAGTCCTTCATTTTGTTGAAAAGTGCTTCTGCTGTCCTCACATTGCTAGTTGCCACATAATTCGACAGGAGGGTTCGGTAGACCAATTCCCCTCTGAAAGATTCCGGGATTGTTTCGATATAAGCTTCTCCCTTGTACATGCCACGTACCTTGGAAATCAGATCAAGCCGAGAAGCATAATCTCTCTCTTCCATTTCAAACTGCTTATTTTCGTCCAACCATTCTGTCATCTATACAAACAACAAGACAACACATAAACGAAAGAAAACACTTAGAGAACATAAAGCAGAAAAAATATAAAGTCGAAAGACGAAACAGAAAGCATTACTGAGAACCAAGCAAAATTCTTTGATACTGAACTAATTGATCGACATTAATATTCAGCTCATGTTGAAACAAAGAGTAATAAGTACCTGCAATGCTCTCCCATACATCCGACGTTTACGGAGTTGCAGCATTGCACTTGCAAACTCTGTACGGCTGGTATCCTTTCCTTGTTCAACCCATTTATCAAGAGCACTCCCTACAGACAGACCTGAGACAGAAACAATGGCCTTAAACAGCTCCGATAGTCTCTTGCTTGCCGGGACATGTAGTTCCAGTTCTGCTCCTTCAATGTCACCTTCATCACCGGAAAACTCCTCATCATCTTCACTATTACTACTAGTCTCGTTTGGAGTAGCAATGTCTAAATTCTTGTCTTCGAGGTCATCTTCATCTCCGGTTGTTTTAGCTCCAGCGTCAGAGGAAAGTGAGCGTCTTCCGGTAGAGGAAGACCAAGAGAGCTCGTAAAATCTAGGGAAACCATCGTGTTTATCATGAATCAAAGCGTTTGATTCAATAGCACTGTTTCTTTCTCCCAATGGTATATCTAGCTTAGAGTAGACAGCATTGCAAGCTCCTAGTCGGAGACTCTGACTTCTGAAAAAATTATAAATAATAGAAAGCTGCTCAAATTACCTTAAAACTCTGTATCACTCAAACCAGACAAGAAGCATTTCAATGTCTCATGACTGTTAATTATATTCAATATGGGGCTAGAGAAGAAAAATGAAAAAGTATATTAAGAATCAAATGGTATAACAAGTATAATTGAGGAAACCAACCTCCGTAAAACCTTGGAAAGAGCAAACATGTCTTCTACTCGGACAAGATCTCCGGCACTGATCTGCTATTGTAAAGATCAAACACACAGACAAAACAGAGTCAGTAAAAAAGAAACCTTTTTTGCAAGGTCGGATTTTGGAGGAAATGTCATGCATTTCACTTGCAAAGATCAGACCCAGTAAGCAAAAACTTTGAATTTTAAGAAGATTACAGAAGAAAAGTAACAGATCCTTACACAGTGAGACTGGAGAAGCAAGCGAATTGAGCACGAAATGGAGGAAAGCTAAAAACCAGGAGAGCAGAGAGCTAAAAGGAAGGGTTTAGGGTTTTTAATTTTCACACTTTCTTTGTATTTGTTGTTTGCTTCATTTCTGGGCCCCTCTAGTTTCAACTGGGCTTTGAAACATTGCAACCATTTATGATTTGGCCATCAAAGATATTTTTGAAACTGTTATAAAGTTTCTTGTCAAAATTTGGATTAGATTCACTCAAATATAGTTGAAGATATTATGTTCGTTTTATTCCGTCTGAGAGACTTAAAAAAGGCAAAACCCTTTGTCACATCTTGTAATGATGCAAAAACAACTATGAATCTATGTGATATCATAAGCTAACGATGATGACGTTTCATTTAGCTTCTGCGGCTTTCTCATTGATACGCAGACTTTCCGCTTTACGCACAACCTCCTCTGCCACAAGCTTCACGTGACCGCTTGGATTGCTCTCCTCGTGATGGTTTACCGAACCCACCACCCATATTCTGACTGTTCCGTCTTCTGAGCCTGACGTGTACGACTCCCCTCCTGGCGCATACCGAACGCAGTGCACTGGCCCATGGTGACCCTTGTTACACCCTGCATTCACCACATTGGCTTTAGAGGATACACACAGGTTCCTAAAATGAAAACCCAATTAGTCATTCTTCTCTAAAACAAACTTACCAATCTCCTCTCCAGTCTGGAAATCAAACCTATGCACCCACATATCTTCTCCTCCAGCAATGAAAGTGTTGCCGTGTTTCGGTTCCAAAGATGCCGATTCAACATTGCAAGGCATGTCATAGCTCTTCAGCAATCCAAAACTAGGACAGGAGGAGAAAAAGCTCAATCATCAAAGAAAAACGATAAAACCGTAACTGAGGATGCATTTTATATATGTTTTAACTCACTTTTTAGCGTCCCAAAACTTAACACTAGATCCATCAGCAGTAGTGATGTATCGCCCATCCTGACTTACTTCAGCACTAGTAACTGGGGATTTTGTTTCTAATGTATGAACAATCTTGTCACTTCTTATGTCCCATAACCTACAGAGGACATACACAAAAGAACAATGAAACCAGGAATACTAGAGGACTGAGTCTAAACGCAAGGAACGACGTGGTGGTGTACCTAATGTCACCGGTATCTGTGCAAGAGCTTAAGATTGTATTATCACTATGAAGCCATTCAACGGTTCTAATTGAACCAGGGGAATTTCCGACTTCTTTTGGAGGTGCGTCTGGCCGATTCAAATCGAATATCCGAAGAATTTTCTCCATTCCACCAGTGAGTAAACGGTGGGTGTCCTAGAATGTAAATAATTGTGCATTAAGACGACAATAGAAACACAGATGACACCAACAATTCTGACCCTCAAATCCAACAAATAATCTTAGTGAATCCCACCACTCATATCCTTAAACCAGAAAACTTGGCAATGGGATCAAATCACTTTTTGCTGGGAACGAAACTAAAGCTTACCTCAGAAAAGGCACATGCACGAACAATGTGCTTGTGTTCAAAGGAGTGCAATTCATCTCCTGTCAATGCATTCCATATTTTCCTGAAATGTGCCATGAATACAAAGAAACAGTCTTACATCCCCGAGAAGATACTGGTGCCTAGCCTATTAATCTCACTTAACCATCTTCTTTAGGAACATAGTTTGCCCATAACTTAAAACATTAAGCAAACAACCCATCATCGGAGGATACTAAAACTGCAAGACTAAATGGTAAACTAAAAGTCATGAAACACAAAAGAAGAAGAACATACGCAGTGAAATCTGCAGAAGCTGAGGCAGCACGAATAGCATTTTTATCAAGGCTGCAACTCCAAACTGCTCCCTTATGTCCTTCAAAAGTTCCAATCCAGTCACCAGTCTCCCCATTCCTCAACATCGGATTCGAATCTGAATATCAAAATTCCAAGACAACTCAGCTAGAGTTACAACAATGTAGACAACTCATGATCCTAAATTCTCTATTAGATCAGCCAAAAAAGCAAAAATCAAACGATATATAAAAAAGAGGCAGCCAAATCAATTCGTCAAAGCACATCCGCTATGCAAATTGATCGAGACTGAATCATAACAAAGATCATACCTTTGCTGGCGCTAATGAGGAAGAACCCATCTGGAGTCACCGGACTATAAGCCACATCGACGACGGGACGAGAATGCCCGTGGCACACTAACGGAGCTCCCATATTTTTTTCTTGTCTATTCACTAACAAACCCTAATGAACAAAATCTAATCAAATAAACGATTTGCTCGTTTCGAATACAGGAATCGATTGATTTCTTTGCTTTACCAGAATCGTTTTTGAATCGCGACAAGATTGCGTTAAGAAAGACCAATCCGAGTTTGATCGGTGCGAATGTATGAACAGCCAGAGAAATCCCCTTGAAGAGGATCACACCTATTACAGAGAAAAGAAGGAATGATAAAAGGAGACACTTTTTTTTTCTATGGCTTAAACGCAGAGAAGAACTCGCGGAGACGACGATGGTAGTTACACGCTCTGAAATCAGAAACAAATAAACCTTTCGTATTTTACGAGTAAAGGCTTATACTTATTACTATTGATAATATGGCCCCATAACTTCAAACTAATTAAATTTCTAATTTGAGACTTTACAATAGTTGTTATATTGCCCTATATAAATAAATTTTGGTCAGTCACTCTTCAATTACGTGAGGATTGAGTTTTACGTGAGAACTTCACCTAACCATAATTTTTATTCTTAGCTAAGAACATTTTTTAATTTCAAGATTGACAATGACATGTATTTCGTCCTTGTGAAAACATATTGTCGTTTTTCGACGGAATTAATATTTATATATCTGGATATTGGATAACGTATAAACAATGAAATTATTAGTATGATGCTTATGTGTTTGACTCAATGATTCATCATAAAACAATAATCGGAACCTCTCATGGTACGGCGTTTAGAATCTCGAGTCCTTTTCAAAGCTAGATTTTCATTGTTTTTTTCAAATTTATATGATTTCGATCTACCACCCATATTTATGTAATTAATCATAAATACCACTTAGTTATTTCATTATTCAATTCGTTATTTCGTATAACTCCTGGTAGCACCCGATATATACTAGTATGTAGTTTGTTTGTTATTTACGTACTACATTTTATTATTTTATAGAATGCTAAAACTTTACTCAGGTGGGTCCAAAGTTCAAAACCCATGAATTATTTGAAAATACTCTTTTGATAACACTTATTTCGATATATACGTACACACACGCAGTTTGACCGGTCGAAGATTCTGGCACAATAAGGGCATTTGCACAATTGCACGGGCAAGTGCCATAGGCGTGGAGTGGTATAAGTAACTAAATATTAAAATGTGTGTGCATGCTTATTTCTACACATAAACATCTCCACCCACTCCAACTACAAGTAATTTTAAAATTTTCACAAATTTGGTGTAGCATTTATTTTTAACTTTGATTTCCAATTTTAACCAAAAAAAAAAGCTTTGATTTCCAATAACAATATGGAAGATTATATTTTCTGAATAAGTTACAGCAATTTAAGCAAAGAATATCTGCCCTAACATTTTGGTATGTTTTTAAAATGGAAATAACTTAGAAGAAAAAAAATGAAGACTAAGGAAACAACATAATACTCAAAAATGATATTAATTTTAAATTAATTAAGATGAATTCTTCATCTTTATATGTCTCATGGAAAAGAACAGAGAGAGTGTTAAGGCGTCAAGATCACAGATGTCAGAATCATCCAATCGATTACTGACACGTGGATGTAGGCCCAACAAAAATACGTGTATAAATGGGCCCTGTCTCTCTATTTGCCACCGTTGCCTCGTTTTGGCCTATAAATCTTCCAAAACCCTATAAATCGCTACACAATTACTTCTCAGCTCCGGTGATTCTCCTTTTCTCGTTCGTCGCCGGTAGTTTGATCCTCCTCACGCCTCCAATTTCTGAGTTATTTCATGCTAACTCCTTTGCCTGATTTTATTTGATATTTTCTTTGTCTGATTATGTTTTTGTGAGATGTGAAAGAGTTTGTAACTGCTAATTTCGATGTCAAAACTATGAAAAAGGGGTAGATTCAATATACGACGGATATTAAATAATGGAGTTTATTGAAAAAGGTGGATTCTTTTTTTTTGGGTGCATATGCAATTTCAAAGCGCACTTTATGAGAAAGGAGACGAGGAGACTTAGATCTTTGTCATAACAAGAAAATTTGCATAACTTTTGCTTGTTTTATGTGCATCGTGATGTTTCTCTAATTGAGTTGGGCACATTGCGTTTTCCTATTCTTATAAAAGCATAGAAAATTGACATTACTAGTTAGTAACTAAAGATAAAACAGCTATGAGGTTCTTCTTTTATTGAGAGGTGGAAAAAGACTGGAATCGTCACAAATTTAGAAAATTATAGTATGAAATTTTATTTTTTATTATTATGTACTATGTAGTCAGCTAAATGCTATGTTTAAAGTCATTGCTAGATGTTATATATAGCTCCCTCTTTTGTGGTTTAGGTCATAAAAAGAGTGGACCAAAGGCTAAAATCTGAACAGAGCGACGAGTTCTGGAGTCTTTGAGTGATTCAGGATATGGAGGAAGAAAGAGTGTTTAGCTCGAAGAGGCTATTCAGAGGTATAGTAGCAGATCTTAGAGGAAGAGCCTTGTGTTACAAGGAAGACTGGGTCACTGGTCTACGTTCTGGTTTCGGGTACTTAATTCCTGATTTCACTCTGACATAATCAACATTTGACACAAACAGAGAACAAAATTTTGATATTTGGGAGGTTTTGCAGGATTTTAGCTCCCACAACATATATTTTTTTCGCTTCCGCGCTCCCGGTTATCGCCTTTGGCGAGCAACTCAGCCGGGACACAGGTCTTTTTCTGCTTATCTCTCTAAAAGTTGTCATCTTTCTTTGATTTCTTTACGGTTTTGTGTTCACGTTTATTTAGTGGAACAAAAGTACTCAACTTGTCCACGTTTGGTCTTCTTTTCTTTTTTGTTTGAGGGGTTTAGTTTTGCATTCTCTGATTTCAAGAGAAAATCCAATATGAATTTATTTTTTATTATATTTTGAGGAGATTATAGAGGGAGCGTTGAGCACAGTAGAAACGTTAGCATCAACAGCGTTATGTGGAGTGATACACTCAATTTTGGGAGGACAACCATTGTTGATACTCGGAGTTGCAGAACCAACTGTGTTAATGTACGTTTACTTGTACAACTTCGCTATAGGAAGACCAGAATTGGGCAAACAACTCTACTTAGCTTGGGCTGCTTGGTAATTACCCCAAAAGACTCTTCTCTTATGTTCTTTTTTTATTAATGTAAGGTTTTGGTTTTTCTTTATGGTTTTGTTGGTTGTTAAATTGAAGGGTTTGTGTGTGGACGGCTCTGTTACTGTTCCTAATGGCGATCCTTAATGCGGCTGATATCATTAACCGGTTTACGAGGGTTGCTGGTGAGCTGTTCGGTATGTTGATATCCGTTCTGTTCATCCAACAAGCCATTAAGGTATGAAGACCAAAAATCTCAACCACATTGGAATTGTGATGATTAGTTAAAGCTTATTATAGACATTTTCCAAATAAAATTGTAGGGTATGGTGAGTGAATTTGGAATGCCAAAAGATGAGGACTCAAAACTAGAAAAGTATAAGTTTGAGTGGCTCTATACAAACGGACTTCTCGGCCTCATTTTCACCTTTGGCCTTCTTTACACCGCTTTGAAGAGTCGAAAAGCAAGGTCTTGGCGATACGGAACAGGTAAGAGAGATGAATCTTCTCATGCTTTGGTCGTCATTTCTGTGTATGATGGTTACTGAGGCCTAAAAATTTCTGGTTTATTGAAAAGGATGGTACAGAAGCTTCATCGCAGACTATGGAGTTCCTTTGATGGTTGTGGTTTGGACAGCATTGTCGTTTAGTACGCCATCAAAACTCCCCTCTGGTGTCCCGAGAAGACTTTTTAGTCCTCTGCCATGGGACTCTGCTTCTTTATCACATTGGACTGTCATCAAGGTTGCAACACAAACACAATACACTAAAGATATTGATTCATCATCCGAGCCTAATTTAAAGTTTTAATACCTGGATTTGGTCTGTACAGGACATGGGGAAAGTCTCTCCGGGTTACATATTCGCGGCATTTATACCCGCATTGATGATAGCTGGGCTCTACTTCTTTGACCACAGCGTTGCCTCGCAGCTTGCTCAGCAGAAGGAGTTCAACCTCAAGAAGCCTTCGGCGTATCACTACGACATTCTCTTGTTGGGTTTCATGGTATAATCAATCAAACTCCTTTTCTTTCTCTCTGCAAGCTCACCTATAAAACATTGAATATCTAGTTGAAATCTCTATAACTAGTGTGTGTTTTTTTTCAGACGTTGATCTGTGGATTGCTCGGTCTGCCTCCTTCCAACGGAGTCCTTCCTCAGTCTCCTATGCATACCAAAAGCCTTGCTGTTCTTAAACGACAGGTTTAATTATTACTCAGTTAATCATCACTCAATATTCAGGTTAAGTTGGTCTTAATGAACCTGTTTGATTTTCAGTTGATCCGGAGGAAGATGGTAAAGACAGCCAAAGAAAGCATCAGGAAGAGAGCAACTTCCTCCCAAGTGTACGAGAATATGCAAGAAGTCTTCATAGAAATGGACAAAAGTCATCTTGTAAGTAGTAGACTCATAATTCAAAGTTCCGGTAAAAGAAAACTCAAGATTTGGAACAAATATCATAAGCTCTTGTTTTTAAAAACCAGGCTCAGCCAAATCCAGCAGTGATAATTGAGCTGCAAGATCTGAAAGAAGCAGTAATGAAGAGAAATGAGGAAGAAGGAGAGGGAGACGAGGAGAGTGGTTTTGATCCAGAGAAGCACCTTGATGCTTACTTACCTGTTCGAGTCAACGAGCAGAGAGTGAGCAACTTGTTGCAGTCACTGCTGGTGGCAGGTGCAGTGTTGGCAATGCCGGCCATTAAGCTTATACCTACTTCCATTCTATGGGGATACTTCGCTTACATGGCCATTGATAGCCTCCCGGGAAATCAATTCTTCGAACGCACAATGCTTCTCTTCGTTCCAACAAGCCGAAGATTCAAGTACGTGTTCTGAAAATGCTCTGTTTCTTAATTATTATTTTGGATTTCTCTTCAAAGACTGATCATGTGATTGTTTCTGTCAGGGTCTTGGAGGGGGCACACGCCTCGTTCGTGGAGAAAGTTCCGTACAAATCAATGGCTGCGTTTACACTGTTGCAGATATTCTACTTTGGGCTGTGCTATGGAGTGACGTGGATTCCGGTGGCTGGAATTATGTTTCCAGTTCCTTTCTTCCTCTTAATAGCTATCAGACAGTACATTCTCCCGAAGCTCTTTAACCAGGTCCATCTGCGAGAACTTGATGCCGCTGAGTACGAGGAAATCCCCGGCACTCCTAGAAACCCGCATGAACTGTCTTTCCGGGTGAGTACATATCTATATAACATTTTTGGGGATCCCGGAATTTGGACTAATCCCAAGAGGTTTTCTTGTCATATAAGGCATCTACATTGACCTAAAATATTTGAATTTGTCGGATTAATGCGGAATCAAACTTGTTCTACAGTCGAATGACTCGAAGAGAGACGTCCAAGAAGGCGATGCTGAGATTTTAGACGAGTTAACGACAAGCAGAGGCGAGATTAAAGTCCGCACAGTCAGTCTTAACGAAGACAGAGGCAACCAGGTTTTGTTTTGTTACACATCCTTGATATGAATCTTTAACTTTGTATAAAGAGTTTTTATAGACTCATGATCTCTGTTAAAACCCTGCAGATTTACCCCAAGAAGACAGTAAATGCAGGGGACGGGGACATGACAAGAGAGTGAGTGATCTATAAACAGAAAGGATCAAAGATTATTCTTTCAAGTGATGATCATGATCATGATCATACACAAAACTATATAGTATTGTAGAACACAGATTATATGTGGCCTTTTTTTTTTGTTCTTAAACCCAAGATTGTGTGTGTTTTTGTCAATATAGTCTTCTTAGCAATGAAAAATCTATAAAGCATTAATAGGGCGAGAATGTTACGAATGTGTAACCTTCCGAGAAGGCGAGAAAATATACTAAATTTCATAAAAGTCTTTATTCGAGCTAACTCAATGTGTTCCTCATTATTCACTTTCTGAATCAATCATTTTATCTTTATACCATAGACTAAATTTAATATATTGTGTTGTTAGAAATTCACTTTGTGTAGAAGAAAAGCAAAGGATAGCTTTTTCCTTGTGTAGTTTGATGTGCTTTTCAAAATTCGCAGATATAAAATTAACTATAAGGTTACTAATTTAATAAATGAGGTTAATAGCATCAAGGATCCGTGGCGCAATGGTAGCGCGTCTGACTCCAGATCAGAAGGTTGCGTGTTCGATTCACGTCGGGTTCAAATCTCCCGAATCATGATCCTTAAACTTTTTGTTTAACCTTATCTGTCTGCCCTTGAAAAACTTCAAAATTCCAATTATGCCCATTGTTTTGCGCCTTCTCAGTTAAACCTAAAATGTTTACCTTTTCTACCCCTTGAAATTTTCAAAATTCCAATTATGCCCAAGGTACCGAGTAGAAGGAGGATGGTATTTTCGTAATTTAAAACAAGTTAAAATCTGAAAAACAATGGAAAAGAGGAGGAATTGAAGAAACCCTCGTTAAACCCTAACGCCGTAATCTTCGCCTCCGGCATATCTATCCTCCGCCTTCTCCAGACTTAGGTGAGAATCCGAACGCCATGAACTACCGTTTTCAGAATCTTCTTGGTGCTCCTTACAGAGGCGGGAACGCAGTAATCACTCAGAATACTCAGCTAATTTCACCGGTTGGTAATCGTGTCTCCGTCACCGACCTCAATAAGAACCATACGGTTACTCTTGCGCTCGATTCCTCTTCCAACATATGTCGCATCGCTGCCTCACCCGACGGCACGTTCCTACTCGCCGTCGATGAACAAAAACGAGGCCTTTTCATCAACTTACCTAGACGGGTAGTTCTTCACAGAATTACCTTCAAGGATAACGTCAGTGCCTTGGAGTTCAGCCCTAATGGTAAGTTTATAGCTGTTGGAGTTGGTAAGTTGGTGCAGATATGGCGATCACCTGGTTTCAGGCGAGCTGTTTATCCCTTTGAGCTGGTTAGGACTTTTGCTAATTCTGATGATATAGTTGTCTCCTTGGAGTGGAGCTTGGACTCTGATTATTTGCTCGTTGGCTCAAAGGATTTAGCAGCTAGGTTGTTTTGTGTTAGAAAGTTGAAGGGTGTTTTAAATAAGCCCTTTTTGTTTCTGGGTCATAGAGATTCTGTGGTGGGTTGCTTCTTTGGTGTTGATAAAATGACTAACAAGATCAATAGGGCTTTCACAATTGCACGGGATGGTTACATTTTTAGTTGGGGGTATACTGGAAAGGATGTCAAAATGGATGAATCAGAAGATGGCCACTCTGAGCCACCGTCACCTGTTACTCCAGAGAGGGCTGATATGGTGATGGTGGAAAATGGTGATGGTGTTGGTACTGAGCTGAAGAAACGAAAAGAGTTTGACGGTAAAGGTCTTGAATCAGATGATGATGAAGAAGAAGATGATGAAGAATATATGCACAGAGGGAAATGGGTTTTGTTGAGGAAGGATGGGTTTAATCAGGCATCAGCAAAGGTGACAGCTTGCGACTATCACCAGGGGCTCGACATGGTTGTGGTGGGGTTCTCAAATGGTGTTTTTGGGCTTTATCAAATGCCAGATTTCATCTGTATCCATCTGCTGTCTATTTCTAGGGAGAAGCTGACAACAGCTGTCTTTAATCAGCGTGGTAATTGGCTGACCTTTGGTTGCGCAAAACTTGGGCAACTGTTAGTCTGGGACTGGCGATCTGAAAGCTATATACTGAAGCAACAAGGACACTATTTTGATGTCAACTGTGTCACTTACTCACCCGATTCACAGTTCCTGGCAACTGGTGCTGATGATAACAAAGTCAAGGTATGAAAATCTTAAAGACGTAACTATTATGTTCTATACCATGCTTGTCATCTATTTCTGAATTTAACCAGCCCGTTTTTTATAATGTTACATTTTTCAGGTGTGGAGCGTTATGTCAGGATCATGTTTCATCACATTCACCGAGCATACCAATGCAGTGACTGCTCTCCATTTTATGGCTGACAACCACTCCCTCTTAAGTGCATCTCTGGACGGCACTGTTCGTGCTTGGGATTTTAAAAGATACAAGAACTATAAGACATACACAACCCCTACACCCCGACAATTTGTTTCCTTAACAGCAGACCCGAGTGGTGACGTTGTCTGTGCTGGGACCCTAGATTCATTTGAGGTAATTCAACGTAGGCCCTAAATGATTCCAGTCACACTCACAAATACTGAATCACAGTTTCCTTTGGTGAGGTAAATCATTTTATGCTTGCCTATGTGCAGATTTTTGTATGGTCCAAGAAGACTGGGCAAATAAAGGATATTCTGAGTGGGCATGAAGCTCCCGTTCATGGGTTGATGTTTTCTCCCTTAACGGTAAATAAACTGTCATAGTCTCATACTTCTTTTAGTCAAAATACATTTGGTTACTTGGCTCTAAACAATTATGTGAATACTAGCTAATAATGACTTAAAATTTATCGGAGTTATGAATATTTCTGGCTTATGGTGTTATAACTTCCATTCCTTATCTAGTTCATATATTTCTTTCTCTGCAGCAAATTTTAGCTTCATCCTCATGGGACAATACGGTTCGGTTGTGGGATGTGTTTGCTAGCAAAGGCACCGTGGAGACGTTTCAACACAACCACGATGTTCTAACAGTTGCTTTCCGTCCTGATGGGAAGCAGTTAGCCTCGAGTACGCTAGATGGGCAGATTCATTTCTGGGACACCATTGAAGGTGTGTTGATGTACACCTTAGAGGGGCGGAGAGATATCGCTGGAGGTCGAGTCATGACTGACCGTCGGTCTGCAGCTAATTCAAGTTCTGGAAAGTGTTTTACAACATTGTGCTATTCCGCTGATGGAGGTTATATTCTAGCCGCAGGAACTAGCAGATATATTTGCATGTATGACATCGCAGATCAGGTTAGCTCATTAGTTAGCTTCTCTTCGAATTCAGCTTTTCCTGGCCTCAAAAGGTTGATGCAGATTTTGAAAGCTCGTGTCTTATGAAAGAAATTTAGTCAAGTGTTTGGAATATCACCTTTTCAGGTTCTTCTGCGCCGGTTTCAGATATCCCATAATCTTTCGTTAGATGGGGTTCTTGACTTCTTGCACTCCAAGAAGATGACAGAAGCAGGACCAATGGATCTGATCGATGATGACAACAGCGATGAAGAAGCTGGCATTGATAAACAGTCTCGAGGGAATCTGGGTTACGATCTGCCTGGATCCAGGCCTAACCGTGGCAGGCCCATTATCCGGACAAAAAGCCTCAGCATTGCCCCAACTGGGAGGAGCTTTGCTGCTGCAACAACAGAAGGAGTTCTCATCTATTCAATCGACGATACCTTCATCTTTGATCCGACCGAACTTGATATAGACGTCACTCCAGAGGTGAGCCTTTTGTAAATCGCTGATGGTGGTTGTAGTTCTGATTATTGGGTTTGAAAAGCAAAGCTAATGTGTTGTTCGTGTAGGCTGTTGAGGCTGCCATAAAAGAGGCTGAAGTGAGCAGAGCACTTGCTCTAAGTATGCGTTTGAACGAAGACAGCCTTATCAAAAAATGCATCTTTGCTGTAGCTCCTGCAGACATAAAAGCTGTTGCAATCTCTGTCCGCCAGAAATACTTAGAAAGGCTTATGGAAGCTTTGGTGGATCTGCTTGAGAACTGTCCTCATCTGGAGTTCATACTTCACTGGTGTCAGGTAATGGCTCTATTTCCTCTCTTTCTTGATTAATCTCTGCTCAACTGCTCTTAACCTGATCAAACTTTGTTTATGTGCAGGAAATCTGCAAGGCACACGGAAACTCCATTCAGAGGAACTACAGAATTCTATTGCCTGCACTGAGATCGTTGCAGAAGGCAATCACCAGAGCCCACCAGGATCTGGCAGATATGTGTTCTTCCAATGAGTACACGCTTCGCTACTTGTGTTCTGTTCCAAACAATCATTGATTATGTTTTCTGCATTATGTATCACCGGAAATTTTCATCTTCCTTTTTCGGGGAAACAACTTTTGAAGTTTTGATATATGAGTTTCAAATCTGAAAAACAAAATGGAGTTAAGAAATTGAACAATTTGCAGGCAGCCATAACAAGTCCGAAGAATGTGTTTATGAAAAAAAAAAGTACGAAGAATGTGAATAATTTGATTTAAACAGAGATTTTGAATAGGCAAAAGATGAGCCCAAGCTATGAATACTTCACTAACAGAAGCTAACATACAAACAATATAAATTTATGCCTAGAACAAGAACTGATGTCGCTATAAGAACATTACATTATGATAAAAATCAAGAGACATCAAAACTTTGGACGAATTCCTCATAGACTCGGCACTCAGAATCTTCATGGCGTCCATCTGGGATACAGCGGCGAATGGAACTCCAGACGGGGTATGTGAGCCGGGTAATTGTCGGTGCTTGCTTGGCTCCTTGCACCAAGAAACAGATTATGGATGAACGCATCAAAGTTAAGATCAATCATGGGATGGCGATATGGAAGCTGATGGAGAGAAGTCGCCAACAATCTTTGTTCTGCATCCCATCTCTGTCGAGCATTGAGCATTTCAATGTATTCGGCCTCTCTCTCCAATTGCTCCCACATGTGTTGCTCCCAAGGGTCTAACTTTGGAGGTGTAAAACCAGGATGCTCAGTTTTCAAGTGATTTTTCAGCTGAGCATAGGTCCCTGAGAAATCACACTTGTCCACAGAACAAGACCTCGGTCTAGCATTCATGAATCTCCGAGCACAAGTCGACTTCATTGTCCCCTGAACCTCTCCTCTGCAGTAGGGACAGTTTAGAGTCTTGCCACTGCAACGGCTTGAGCTGTTGTTTCTGCGGTACTGCTTGAAGCAGTTGGAGTGACGGGCGCTTGTGTCACACATGTAAGCACGACATCCTTTGGAGAAAGAAGAGCATTGCAAGAGGACAGCATTGTGAGGAGGCTCCATACAGATCACACACCTCACATCCTCCCATTCACTCACACTCTCTAACTCAACAACAGGTGACGCCGCCTCGACTTCTTTTTGTTTCTTGTTCCTACAAGAGCGAAGCGGGTAAGGCGAAACCCTATTTCTGTTGCTTGAAACCGGCATTATCCGTCTTTCCTTGTGCATCTCACACACACACACACACTGAAATCAAATAGAAAAGAGTGTTAATTCATAATCTCTGCCCCCAATCAACATAGACTCAGTTGTCTAAACACACAACAAGATGACACAGATGATATGAAAGGCAAAGATTCAACAAACCATCACATTGGAATAGATACATCCCAATGCAAATTCAACAAAAGATCAAGGAAACAGGACAAGGAAGAGCTCAAATCAGTCTATATTGTACGGTATTCCAGCATGAACTTAGGCCCACTAAAAAACTAGAGATGATAATCAAATAACAGAACATGATGATTTTAATTTCATTGGTCAAATAAAATGAAACTATTCACTACTTATCGCAAACAGTTGTAGAGGTTCTCAATCATCTCATAAACATTAGATTCAGCCGCAGATTTCAAACCAAGAAACAGATCAATTCGATTGCAATTCGATAATTTTGGCCCAGAAAAAGAAAAAAATAATATTCAAACGCGACCAGAAATTTCTGATCACATCCACAAAAACCGCAAAACGACAGAACATCATCGGGGATCGAGAGACCCAACGGAGAAAATCAATTCACACCCATAAGAAGAGAAAAAAGAAAACGGAAGCTATTAAATACCTCTGGCCGGAGAAAACGAAAAGAGGCTTTCTTTCTTCGAGGGAGAGAGAGAGAGAAAAGTGAGAAAGAGAGAGGTTCGCTCCTCGTAAAGAGTTTCGTATGAAACGGTGAAGATGAAAAATTGGATGCGCGTGCGTGAATGTGAGATTGTCCGGGTGGTGATGGTTGGCGTTTTTATAGGCGTCGAGAGCACAAGAGATGTCTTTTCAGACATGACCAAAATACCCTTCCATCTTTTGTAATAAGTCCACCCCCTCTCTCTCTCTCTCTACTTTCCTTTGCCAATTTAACCACATTTGTCTTTTTGACTTTCTTTGCCTTTCCTTTTTTTCCTTTTAAACGGCTTTTAAAGTTTTTTTTTTTATTTTTGCCAACATTTATACGTGTGTCCTTGGCAAAAATATATTTTCACACTAATGATTGGATATTATTATGCTTTTTTTTCTGAATAGAGATAATTACTCATATTTTGTTTCTATATAGATTATCTAATTACAAACATAACTTTTAAAATAAAAAGATGATAGAAAATTTATGTGGTTATCTTCTTATAACAAATTTTACAACTGTTGGGATGCATATATATGTTGACTTTTCTTTTACTGGAACCAAATTTCAATTATAGGTAACTTTATATGTCACAATATGCTTTTTTGTGTTAATATAAAAAAATCTCTGTATAAACAGTTAATCATGTAAAATGTAATGTTAACTTTAGGCTTTTAAAGTATTTATCATTTCTAATTTTTTTTTAACAAAATTTTCAAATTATTATGTCCAAAGACATGCTTCTTTATTCTCTGTATTCAAGAAAATAAAAGTTATCTTTCTTTATATGTGGGGTGAAAGAAAGAAAACATGTAATTTATTTAGCTGTCATATCTATGTATATATATTTTCTTTCTCTTTTTTTTCTTGATGCATGTATTATGTATATACATATTATCTATTCCATTTACGTGCAATTACATTTCTAGTAAAAAAACAAAAAAAAGATTACATTTCTAGTAAAAAAAGAACACATACCACAATCCAAATCGCAAATCCCAAATCTTGGCAGTTGCCACTAATATGTATATACACGGCACAATCAATATCAACGACAGGCTTCCAACTATTATTATTCGAAAAAAAGTTCAAACTTTTCTTAGAAAGAGAAATCTAATTATTGAGAAAAAAATGTGATAAAATAGGAAGAAGATATTGGAACAGATTACACGAGCCCAACTATTGGGTTAAGTCGTCGGCCCAACAAATTAAATGCGTTTCGGTTCACCCAATTTTGACCCGACCCGCACCTTCTAGTTGTGTAATGTGAACTGTCAAGTTGTTGCGGCTAGAAGTTAAGAACCCTAACTAAAACCCAACGTCGGCCTCTCTTTCCCTCTCTCCGCTTCTCTCGTCAATCGCCGACCATGGCCAAGGACAAACTCAAGCCTCTTCTCTCCTCTGATGCTGGAGGTTTGCTTCATTCTATTCCCCTTTTCCTTTACCTATTGTTCAATTTAGTTTTGCTCATAGCTCTTCTCTTGTTTTATGAATTCAGCAGGCGAAATCGCCGATACTACTCCACGAGAGAAGAAGCATAAGAAGAAGAACAAGAAGCGAGCTGAACCTGAACCCGATATACCCTCTACGCGTGATTTCGGTAAGATTTAAAGCTAAATTGTTGAAGATGAAAGCTCTGGATGAGTCTAGCTAGAGATTTTCGTGACTTAGTTGGACAATCTTATATTAGGGTTTGTATTTGATGATATATATAGGTCTTGATGAAGATAGAGATGGAGTGTTGGTAGATGATACACTTAATGAGCCAACGATAGGTGATAAACTTGAGAGTCTTGACTTATTAAATGGCGAAAAGGTTATCAGTGAGGAGAGTAATAGAGCTTCTGCTCTGGGCGATGATAAGCCTCCTACTGCAGCCTCTGTTAACGTTCTTCTGAGACAAGCATTGCATGCTGACGATCGATCTCTTCTACTCGACTGCATGTACAACCGAGATGAGCAGGTTTCAGATAGTTTCTGTCTGTTTCTTTACAATTTTGTTTGTTTGTTGGTTTCTTCTTATTATTGCAATACTATATGAGTTACAGGTGATTGCTAATTCGGTCGCCAAGTTGAATTCAGCAGAAGTACTCAAGCTTCTAAATGCCCTTCTACCAATACTACAATCAAGGTGAGGGTTGATGATATATGATTTCTGTGTGTATGAGCTGTTTATGTGTTTTCTGAAGCTGTTATTCAAGTGGTTATTTTTCTACTGTATTGCAGGGGGGCAATTTTGGCTTGTGCGATTCCGTGGATAAAGAGTCTGTTACTTACTCATTCTAGTGGAATTATGTCTCAAGAGTCATCGTTGCTTGCACTAAACACCATGTATCAGGTTAGGAATTGCTTGTCTTTACTGTATGGCTGTGTTTGCCATGGCACCTCTGTTAGAGATACAGATCAGAAAGTCACTACAGATGAATCATTGAAATGTATTTTTTGGTTGTGTGTGCAGCTCATCGAATCACGGGTTTCAACTATTCATACTGCCGTAGAGGTCTCAAGTGGCTTGGACTTGGTATGTATTGTCTTACCTTGAAACGAGGAAGAATTTGATTTTAGTGTGTAGCCTAGGGGTTTGGCATTCGATTCCATGGATCACTTAGGCATTAAAAAACACAATGGAAGTCCTGAGATCACTTTGCATGGATAATACAGAGTTTTTGACTGGATAATATGTTACTGATTCGTCATTGATTGTGATAATGGTAGATTGTGGACGACTTAGATGAAGAAGAAGATGAAGGTCCCGTGATCTATGAGGACAAGGACAGTGATGAAGAAGAAGGAGAAGGAATAGAGGAAGCAATGGAGACAGATGAAGAGGCAGACGACTCAGCGGATGAAGCAGCTGATGGTGTGAATGATTTTGAAGGATTTGACGACATGAGCGATTGATAAAGCTCCTGAAAAAGGCAAAAGTTTTGATTTGTGTGAGGCTGATTGATTGTTTAGTTGCTAAGAATATGGCTAAAAGGTACAATCTTTCGTCAAGAAGTCTGTAATACGTAATGGTTATATCGAAATGGAGGAGACTTTGTACTGAGGAAGAATTAGTTTTTTTTATATAAAAGAAAAAATTGACAAGGATAAGGTGTATCCGTGTATGTAAAAATGGAAAGAAGTTGAAAAGGTCAAGCATGATTTAGAAAATGATGGATCATAACAGCTAAAAAAGCTCTCCTTGAAAAATGGAACACCATTGAAAAGAGGAGAAAAATGCGATGCATTCACATAGATATGATTATAAAGGAAGAAACTGTTTGAGAGAAGAAAGAAACAAGTAAGAAATGGCGAGCGGACAGAATGAGGAATTCAGTGTGAGGGCAGGCCAAATCGTGGGCCAAGCTCATGTCAGTGTTTTTGTTCAATTTCTCTTTTACTTGTGCCTTTTGCGACCGCATTAACTTTAAAAAGATATTACACGGAGTTTTGTTTTAAAAATGATGTTTGGTATCAGGTGAAGGAGAATGATTGCAACAACTCTTCTCAAGCTTCAGGTTTTCTCCAGCAGGTTAACTTAACACATCAACTCTACATCTTTGTAGTTTTGGACTTTTTATTCCTTTTTAAGAAATAAGATTTGATGATTTATCAGAAAGGGGAGAAAGTGAAGAGCATGGCACATGAAGCATCAGAGGCAGTGAAGAACAAATTGGGGATGAACAATGCCAACAATGAAGAATATAAGAACAAGAACCCTTTGGACAAGAAGAATCCTAACAACACAACCAGTCCAAGCATGCCTGGTCATCCTCCTTCCGATATCTAAACATTTCACAAAACTCATCTTTTTATTCCACTAATAAATGTCTGTATTAATAATAAGGGATATTACACATTGCATCCAAGCCAACACATGTTCAAACTTTTTTGGCTTTAGACATGTTCACACTTGTGTTGACCAATACATGTTGAGACTTTGGTTTTGATTTTTCTATCAAACGCCGGTTTACACTTTGGTAATTTCACCCCAGCCGAGCTATATTTCTATTCACATATATACACACAAACTCCCTTAAGAGCATTGATTCTCTGCCCATTTGATGGCAGACCTTGCGAGTGCATCCATTGGATCAACACACTTCTTCAGCAGAGGATCATCCCCTGGCAAGAGGTCCCGCATCTCATCTGACCCGAGCATCACCACGTTTACCGCCTGCACTAGCAGTACCTGCAACGCTATCCTCAGAAGGTTCTGTGCTCCTTCCATGTCTTCTCTCTTCATTGCTTCTATGGATGGGATTACTGTGTGCTCCATTGTCGCCTTGTCTGGAAGCACCGCCTCAAATCCCTGTTCAGTTCCACAATCACAGAGTCACTTCCTACGATGGTTAATAGTAGCTTTACAACAACTTAGATAAATCATAGATATGTTGTTCCAATGGGCAGTACACAATAGAATACTGACATTGCTTTGGAGTTTCTCCTGGTAGAACCCTGCGGATAACGTGGCACTAGTGGCCATCACACCCACACGCAGAGGATTCCCTGCTTCAAGGGGCTTCATTTTTGCCTCTTGCAGCTCTTTAGCAATGCATTCACCCATGTGAAGCACAGGAACTGAACTCCCTTCACAAACCTCGTCATACCATATATGTGCAATATGACAGGGCATTAAGATTAATTTAGCTCCACATTTCTCAAGATATCTTCTCTTATTCCTTAGATTTTCCACAATTAGCTTTGGATCCACCGGAGTACTCTCTGCTCTATGGTAAAGAGAAGGATACGAGTTTTCCTCGTATAAGAGAAGCTCCTTGTTGAGTGCAGGATCCGAGCATAGCACAAAGGGTAACGAGCTTTTACCATCATTTGAGCTCCAATCCACGAGTTTCTTCACAAACTTCAGAGTGGAATCAGTTGAAACGCCTCCAATAATCCCCACTGTGTTAGCATGCCTAAGCAAAGAATCTGCAGAAAGACTGTTTAAACTGTTTTTCGAATCTTCACTCAGACAAAAACCCTTCTTGGGCTTGGGAAGATCATTGCTTTCGTCCATATGCAAGAGGACTGAAGACGGTGGCATGGCAAGGACACGACTCAGTCTTACCCTACACGAAACCCGACTAGAGTAGCATACATGACCTAAGCCATGAGATGGGTTGTTGACAATCTGAAGATACATCACCAAGCTTCTGTCTGAAAATGTTTTCTTATAGTTAGTACTTCAGAGACACCTTTGACAAAACTAGCAAAAGTTTCCAACTTGTTCCCTCCCCCACTAACCTGAATCTTACTTCAGATTCAAATTCCAATCTTGACACCTAAGTTTGAATGGAAAAAGAAAAAAAAAACAACTTTCAAGTTATAAAGTCGCAAGGACCTTAGCTGGCTTTAAGGAGTAGGATCCTAAAAATTGTAGCATCAAGCTCACTTTTCTGCAGCTCCAGGCTGAAACCCACTACAAGAAATTTGGATGCAATTCCCAAACAAGCCAAGATATCTGGAAAATGAAAGAACCAATACTTCTCTTCAATAAGACAGAAGTAAACGTCTAGCTGAATCTAGAAACTTACTATAGAAGATTCTCTTGAAAACCAAATCTTTGTAAGTTATTGAGCAGGATGAGTGATTGCTTTATGTTCTCTGATTGCCAGAAACAAAAAGGAAACAGTACTAAAGAACAGGTGGGACACCAGAACAACGGCCTGAAATCAACCCAATACTTTTCCACTTCTATCAAAGAAACCGATCCTATGAAAGCTGGACCAGTAGTAGTCGCATCAAGTTGAAGTGAGGAATCTTCGCCTCAGATGAATAATCACTGGATTTCACCATGAGGCAGTAAAGAAGGTGGAAGATACCACAATGTAAGGCGTTAAATTCAAGAAGAGGTGTCTCTGTCTGGTTCTTTTTTCCGTTTCTTGTGATATTTTATATATATATCCCTGCAACATGTTGGTTGTCTCTGTTAGGTGGATTCCTTTGTGTTCTTGTCCTCTACTGAATTCCACATGGTCCATCACCCATCTAAGGGTCCATTCGGATTTTATAATCCCTCAATCAATGGAATCCTCCAGAAACAGGTGTTGATCTTCTGATGGACAGAAAATGCAGAAACAGCTTAGAATAGATAGATACGAATGGAGTTTCTTTGTCTCACTTATACAATTACGAGAAGCATTCCAATAAAGGAATAGGCTTCAAGGTCTGAGAAGAGCTCCCACTACACCAACAAGTTCCACCAAACCACACAAGAAAATGGAAGTTTTTAGTGAAGGAGCAGAAAATGATTGTAGACCATGAAGCACAGAGTCAATTAGAACACACACCAATATTTGATTTTGAAATGTACAATGCGATATAAACGTATCTAGCATCTAATTACCAAACAAACAAATGTCAAGCTCCAGATATGGCTTCAACAGAGAAACCCTGATTTCAGAAAAAAAATTCCCATAGCAAAACAAAAAAAAACTACACCTTTCCACATTCGAGAAAATGGCAAGAACCCAGACGATGTTTTTACCTAAGATGAGGGATCTGGGAAGCTAATCATCGAAGAGAGACTCTCTCTTTGAAGAAACCATTGTGTTTTTTTACCCAGCAAAATCCAAAATCAAAGAAGAAATGAGAAAAAGCCATTGTGTACTTGTCTTTTGTCCCACATCGGTTACTTAACTCAAAATGTTTTACTTTATATATGAAGTGAAAGCATTGATTTGACGTCGAGCTCAATAGCGAGGGCTTGTGACCCAAGTGGGGACAATAAGTTGGTGGAACACTGGCTCGGTCCACAGGCCGGATCTGTTGTGGCATTGTTCCGGGCTGCCCAGTCCAAGCTGTGAGTGATCCGTGTGAGTTGAGCGAAGGCTTGGCTCAGGCGGTTCCTGCAGTGGAGGGCAATGCGTGAGGCTGGTTTCACAGAGCAGCGTTCACCTCCCGCTCTCAGCAGTGGACGGATCACAGCTCGACGCCACTCAGATTCACCATGGCCTGCTGGCTCGTTCCCAGCTGGACCACCAATTTTTTAATATTTTTTTCTTAAATTTATGGGCTTTTTAACGATTTTATGAGTCCAATTTTGTCGGTTAGGCCCAATTGTGTGCTACTGACTTGTCTTCTTTATCTCCTCCCTCTGCTTCAACATTGGTGAGTTGTGCCAACTCAAATAGGGGTTATGAATTTGTATTATGCTATTATTTTAATCTAAAGAATACAGATTTGCTAAAACCCACCACATGCACATGTTTTAGTAAGTTTGATCCTGAGAAGAAACAGAAGATATAAGAAGGTGAATTATTGAATAAAACTATATAATATACAATCATGTTGACTTGTTTTACAAATTGGTAACCGAATTACTTTGACTTTCACTTCTCTGTAATGTTTTCCATTTCAAGTTTATAAAGAGATATTTGGCATTTAAAATATCACCTTCCCTTACTCGCCTAATAGATTTGGTTTACCGAAATGGGGAAGAAGACATTTTTAAATTAGTGTGTCTTATAAGTCAATTCTCCTGTTCATTTCTAATCTATTATCTAATCCTTGCAATTTTTTGGTAAAACAATAGTAATTACAAAAAGTCTTACCCCTTTTGTGTTTAAAGAAACAAAAAATTTGAAATAAAATAACAAATATGGATCTAAGAGGACTTATGGTGGTGTTTACTGTTTAGTATCCGATTAAAGATGCGAAAACGAATAAAATTGTAGTCAGTCAAATCTTGATGCATCTTAAAGCATACAAAAAGTGTGATATTTAACTCTGTTCTTAAAAATCATCAATAACAAAAACGGTTTTTAGTACATATTTGAATTATCCGCTTGAAATGTTATCGTTAATTCGGATCGTTGTTGTTACAAAAATAAATTGAAATTGGAAGCGTCACCATAATAATAAATAATAAATCCCTAGTAATAATAATAAATAGTGGACCGACCCCATAAAAATATTGAGGACAGAAATAAAAGGAACCAAGTCTGAAACACAATGATTGATTAATCACTTATAAGGCCTAAACTCACTTTTTCTAGTTTTTCTCTTCTTTTTAGCTCAAAAGAAATCAAAAGAGACGCACAGAGAGAGATCCATGGAGGGTCTTCAAAGATCAACAATCTCCTTCCGCCGTCAAGGATCTTCCGGTATAGTTTTTGACGATCGTCTCATCGCCGAGCTCAACAAATCAGGAGGCAACGAGCAGAAAGACGATAGTCAACGCGACGAACAACCTAAGCCTATGTCGGAAAGCTCAGAACAGGTCAAACCAATCGCCGGCGGCGATGAGAAAGACAAGCTCAGACCGATTAAAACCGGTGGAGGAACACCTGGAGGAATTGAGAGGAGTCGATCTAACGGCGGAGGAGCTCAACGACATCACAGAACAACCGGAAGAGTGTCTCCGGCAGTGGACCCGCCGTCTCCAAGAATTTCGTCATGCGGTTGTTGCTCTGCGTTTGGGAAGAATCCGCCGGGGAAGAAGGTTAATCCGAGGAAAAGGCCGCCGAAACGTAGATCGAGGTAGGCGTCAGGGTCATAAATTTATGAGAACAAAATAGTATACACTGTCTTTCATCTTTCTTCTTTTTTGTATGTGTGTGTGCTCTCTGTTATAAAAACTTTAAATTTGATTTTTCGATTTGATCAACAGACTTTGGTTATTGTAAATTACCTGTCTTTCTTTGTTTTCGGACAATTTCCATTTCTGTACATATCAAACTTTCCAATTTGGGGATCCACAAATGGCGAATTTTCCGATTATCTGTTCACCGAGAAAATATCACAACTTTCTGAGAGAAATCAAACCACTGAAAGTCCTTTCCGATGGCTCATTGAATCTTCTAGGGTTTCGAATCTGGCAGAAGGCGGCGGATCGTAAACAAAGATAAAGTTCGATACTTTTGATTTTGAACAGACTAATCAATCTGCTGCATTGATTGGAAAATGGACGGCTCTGATTTGATGATTTGATGATTTGATTTGATATTAATATTGGGGTTTCTAATTATATACTTACTGTACCCGCCGAGGGGGAGGGCCGTTTCAGCGCCGCATTTAACGGCTACGCCACCGTGTCTTGTCCGGATCAAGCAAAACATCACACTACCATTTATAGAATAGCTGTCTTTAATTGTACTAATATTTTCTGTCTTTAAGTTATAATATTTTATTAAATGAAAATCTTTAATCCATGACCCAAAAAAAACTCTTTCCGACAAAGTTTCATCTTTGAGTCAAGCTCAATCTAGAAGAGTTTAAGTAAAGAATCAAAACATAAGATTACAACTTTTCTTGATGAATTTGTCATTGAGGCCCGAGCTTAGGACAGCCCTCAGCTAGAGGCAAGTCCAAGTTGTCGACTGTCCTAAAAGTGCGTGGTACCATCTTATCAACATAAAGATTACCATCCAAATGATCACACTCATGTTGCAAAATCCTTGCTTGCCAACCTGAAGCATTCACTTCGATCTTCTTTCCTTGACGATCGTAGCCTGTCACTACCACTTCAAGGTATCTCTCCACCGCAGCTCTGAATCCATTAACACTCAAACATCCTTCAAAGAAGAGAGCTTTCTTGTTGCTTCTCTCCTTGAGAACCGGATTCACCATCACCTAACCAAACCCCCAAAAGTCAACATTTTTTTTTTCTAATCTCAAATGTAACAACTCCTAAGCACTCTAATCCTATTATTTACCATGAGATCAAAATGACGTCTTTCTTGAGCAAGAATCTCTTCCTTTGGTGCGTAACTTATATACTCTTTTGTATCTTCCAATACAATAATCTGCATCATCACAACATCAATTCAATCATTTGCTTCGAAAAGGGGGAAGTTAGAAAAAGCACTTGACTTACTCTTAAGGGAACACCAATTTGAGGAGCAGCGAGGCCAACTCCAGGAGCCAATCTCATCACTTTAATCATATCATCAATTATCTTCTGAATACGCTCCGACCCGATTTCTTCCGGGTCAACTTCTCGGGCTTTCTCGTGCAGAACCGGGTCTCCAGCTGCCACTATCTCCGGTAAATCCACTTTCTTTTTCTTCTCCCCCAGACCCAATAACCAACCGGCTTTTGTCGACAAAGAGGAGGAAGAAGAAGAGGGCAAGTTATACAGCTTACGGTTCAATAAGTGTGAGGAACCGGGTCTCGAAACGGGGAATCGGATCGAGCGACATGTCACGGCGGCGGAAACCGGAAGTAGACGAAGTGAGACTCTGAAAAGGGTTCCCATGGCCGTCGCTTGGTCTCTGTGGAGTATCATCGGTCATTTCTTGAAATATGGCTCTTTGGGCCTATTACCGCTCTTTCGGCCCATTATATTAGCAGCCCAATATAAAAGAGATACTGTAGTTATAGTTTTAAAGCTTATATTTCTTTGACCAAAAAAAAAACCAATTGGGTCAACTTTTATGTGCAAGCTCTCTGTTTCTTGGCAAAAGAGACCTTCTAGATATGTTTTCTTGCTTAAGGATGTTCAATCCGAAGTTGGTTCGGATTTTGAATAAGTTTAGTAAGCAAAATAAAGCCAAATCTAGTATTGATCTTGCTTAGTTATAAGTTATAACTGAATCATGTATTAATCTGTTTATATTGGTTTTATATTTTTCGAAACAAGAAATTTTGACACGTACGTTTGTTTTCTTTTATGATGACGATTTGTGACACTAAGGCAGACGTGTCCTCAGTCAGAAACTAAGTACGTTGGCTTTAAAGTTTGACCCAATATTCTATTAAATTTGGTATATGTTAATATGTATAATATATGATTCAACGAATCTGCCGGAAACTAATTAGTTCGGTTAGAGTTAGGTTATATGCTAACTTAAGCCACATGATCTCTTCTTTGTTATTGTATTTTATTGCTCTTCTTGGTAAAAAAGAAGCGGTACCGGTTACCGGAGCGGCGACAATGGGAACTGTGGGCGGTGAGTTAACGAGGTTAATTAATCTCCAATGCTTAAGCCGTAATTCGTGCGGTATTGAAAAAAAAAAAAACAACGACAACAAAGTCAAATTATATATAGCTTTTTGGAATCTTGCTTCCTTGTTTCTCCAAATTAACAAAGTCAAATTCAATATGTAGTTAGGCAACCTCTTTTATTTCTTTCAAGCGGAATCTTAGATTTGATGATGTATTCCACTAATTAAAAGAGGATTAACGTATACATATTTTCTTAAATAATAAAATAATATCCCATATAATTTATTTTGTACAACATATGCGTAGTTAATCTGTTTGATGCTAGAGATGTGAGAAGGGAATCACTCTAAAACAATAAGCCGAAGATGTAAAATAAAGAAGTTAATCTTTGTGCTGGTAATAGAAATTTGATAACATAAATATTAGTAATTATCCTCCATGATTATAATTTTTGCGGAGAATACATTTCAATAGAATTAATAAAGACAATATAAAAAATAAAGTAGAGATCGGTGCTTTGTAGATCATTCCTCTGGCTCTGAGTCTCGTAGATAACGTTTTTGTTGTTGTTAATAAGTCGCGTGTATAACTTTAGATTCAAGATTCCATTTCTTTTTATTCCTTCAACATTCAAATATGGTTTCCGTAAAGAGAAAAAGTCTTCTCGTTTCCTTCATATCTAATTATTATTATTATTTTTAATAAAAAATCATGTTGGAAATCCCCTATAAATACATAGGTCTCGAGCATCTATCAATTCACCATCTCTCAAAAATCAAATCAGGAAACACAAGCACTCTTATAAACACACATATCAACCGACAACCATGAACAACAACAAGAACAAGAACATGAAGATGATGAGTTCCGCAAAAGAGAGTGGTAATGGTACCACTAACATTTTTATTACAGAAACGAGGAACAAGAAGGTGGAGAGGAAGGCATCTATGGACGTGGACAAATGCGCAGAAGCTTTCATCACAAAGTTCAGAAATCAGCTCCTTCTCCAGCGTCTCGAATCCATCGAAAGCATGCTCTCCCGAGGCCCTTAACACTATTTATCAATATACACATGTGTTCTTTCTATTAATTTTTTTCTTTTATATATATATTCTATGGTCCATGAGATTCCAACGTATGGATAAATATTTATGGCTATTATAGATCTTCTTTCTTTTAGATGTGGGATTCATTCTTTAGGTAACTTTTCTGGTAATTTTTTTTTATTACAATATAATAAATGTAAGGTGACTTAGCAATACTGTATCCACTTTTATTTTTTATTTTTTTCCTTCTCAATCGAATTTGTGAACTTCTAAACCAAAGGGAATACGAACTAGCTTGGAAGGCTCTTTACAAGCCTTCTAAACCAATGAGTTTACTAACATATACGAGGGTCTAGAATGCATTTCTTGGGAGAGAGAGTAGTCTCTTTAGTTGCATTGCAGAAAAGCGTTAATTAGAACCAACTTCATTAACCAATTTACATATGTAAGCATTATTTCCCTTGATTATATTATATTAGCCTGTGGAGCAAAGGGAATGATCATTTCCTCGAAGGGAATCACATTCGCTGATTCACATCGGTCTCTTATTGAATATTACACCCAAAACCAAGCACACCAATAATACACAAACACACACAATATATAAAGATAAAGTGAGCTGTTTAGGGGTAGACCACTTGGTGGATCTGAGTCTGCGGTTGTGGCTGCACCATCTGGTGGAGTTTGACTCTTGAGCAAGACCGAGCCATTCCTCCTACGAGGGGGACAACGGGGAGGCTGTCACAGTTGCAGATCTCGATCATGAAGCCATCAGGGTCGTGGAAGAAGAGCTGGTCCACTTGGATCCCTCCTTCTTCTACTAATGCCCTTACATACTCTATTCCCATTTCCTCCAGCTGCTTCTCCACTACTCCCATACTCTCACACTGCATTTCCACAATTCACAACTCTTATTATTTCAGGCCAAATTTTCTCCTATAATCTTATATATGCTCAAAACAGAGTATAACAACTATAATCGGGACCAATCTCCTCTTCATAAACTCTTCACACACATACCAAACACAAAATGTTTTGATTCTTAAAACCAAATGGTTTGTTGTCTAATTCATAACTAACATTTCTATTACACAACTATAAAAGTTAAGGATGTTTTGATTTTTCAATGAATACTTCTACCTCACAAAACCTGACCTCCGAAAGCCCCACTTTCTATTGTCCTTTTTTCTCTTAACGTATTTCTTGTCATTTTCTCTAGGATATTTTGTTCTCTCATAAATTCAGTTTATTTCATTCATAGTTATCATAAGCCACTTCAAACTCTGCTAAAAAATTCTATCCTAAAAGGGTTTACTTAGGAAACTAACATAATTTTGGATTTTTTTCCTTAATAATAAATAATTCTGAGTTTGTGTTTTGCACAAAAAATTCATAGATATAGACAAATGTCCTGAGACAACATCTAAACACAGAGCTTCTATGAACGTAGATTATGGTTCAGGGCTTAAAAAGCAAAATAAATATTAAAAAAAAACAGGGCCAAGCTGAGAATAACAAAAAAAAAAATACCTGGAAAGAGATGTGATTATCCTTGGGATTAATCGCAGTTTTCTTGGGAAGTTTCTCTGGTTCTGGGGCACACAGTAGGTGTATTCCAATCCCATGACCAAACAACCTAAACCCCAAAAAAAAGAACATGTAAAAACTCATTGATAATTAATTTTCCCTCAAAATTCAGATAAATTAAAATAAAATGATAATTACCAAGCGCCTTCAAAATTCAAGGATTCAGGTCTTCGAATCGGGATGAACCCTAACACCTTTTGGTAAAAGTTCATAGATTCGTCGACGGATCGGCACAAGACAGAGACATGGTTCAGTGACGTGAGATGCAAAGGGTTTCCTGCGTTTTCCTTCATTTTCCAGAGACAAAGATCCTAAGAAGAAACAAAAAAAAAAAAAAAAAAAAGCAACGCCGCCTTTGATCAACAATCCAAATACAATGACGTCTACGTTGATACAAGAAGCGAGAATGATTGTAATAGTTGCAGAATTTATTATTACATGTATGATCTTTATATATAGTTTGTGTTGTGTAGAAACAAGGTTAATGGGATAACCACGGAACTTATCTGATGATCAATTACACATGGCTATCATATATTTATAGAAAAGCTAGCGTCTTAAGCAAATATGGCTAACTTTTCTGGATTTTTAACCTTTCATAATTAAAAATAAAAAAAAAAACCTATTTATTTATATTTGGATCATAGTCACACGAACGTACCAAACAAATTCGGTCTTATTTTTCTGTATTTGGTTTTGTCTTTAATTATAAGTTTGAGTGTGACACGTCGATTTAGGTTTTGATAGTTAGATATATTAACAAATTCAACAATGAATATAAATGGAAATTCGTCAAATGCATGGATGGTATTAAAAAAAAGATTTCTAGTCAATAAATTCAACTGAAGATATAATCTTATCTATTACGTAAATAGTTAATTACTACGTAATAGGAATGATTAGAAGAGAACTAAGAAGGTTGTAATGAATAACGTACACCTCATACGTAAATAATTGAAAAATGATGTGATTGGTAAAAAGAAAAGGTGAAATAGGGCGGTTAAAGCATCTCTAACGGGAGATACTTTTCTTAGTTTTTCAAGAAAAAAACAAAAATGTTATTTTAATTTTAAAATATATTTTAATTGATTTTAAATAATTAAATTAATAGATAATTGTAACTAGGGATTTTGGTTGAAAAACGGTTCTCACAGTTTCTCATTTTAGATATTTTTCTTCTCTTCTTTTCTACTTTTTCTCTTTTTAGTTATTATTAAATATTAAGTTTTTAGTGTAAAAAGTTGATGGAGATGGTGAAAAATGTTGTGAGTAATTCCTGCCTGGCAGTGTCAGGATTAGTTCAACACGTAAGAACTCATACAAGCTGACTCAGACAATCACAACTTCTCGTTTTTTCCCCCTTAAAAACTATATTAAGCTAAGATCATATTGGGCACGTCAGCAACCTCAAACGTTACTCGTTTGTTGTTTTTGTGTATAGAATTTGGTCATTTGTTGCCGTGTCCAGTGCAAATTGGGCCGTCCCAATTACCAAATGATTTTCTTTCAGATATTTTTATAATACTATTTAGACATGTTGCGGTATTACTTACTATATGATTCATAACAAATAAAAAACAATTTTCATAGGTGAGAAACTATTAAAACTTTTTTTAATTTATATATATGACTATTTGAAATTTTTTTAAATTATATATATAAAGAATCCGGAAAAAAAAGGTGTTAGAGCATTTCTATTGATGAGATATCTATAGAGTATCTCATAAATATAACTATTATTATTTTAATATTATTAATTTAAAAATGTAATTCTAATATTTTCAAATATATCAAATTACATCTTAAATATATTTATTGTATTAGTTAATTATAAACATATTAAGTTATAACTAAAACAATATTAGTTTAATAGTTTGTATTTATTACCTTAATTAATATCAATTAAAATAATACTAATATAGATAATTTTATTTTATGATTTAAAAAATAACAAAAAGAACACCGTATAAACTATTTAATTGGTATACATATAATTTTACTTTATAATTTGTAAAAACTAAATAGAAAACACATAAAAAGACATATATCAATGTTTTAAGGAGAGAAAAGGTTTCTTATGGATATCTCAAATTAAAAACTCTTTTATGGAATTCTCAAAAATTTATTTTATGATTTTTTTTTCATTGTTAAGACTTAAGAGACTTCCAATAAAAATGCTTTTAGGTTTTTTTTTTTAATTAATTTATCGTATGACAGTATAACTCACATTTATTGAGTTTTTGGACTTTAGCATGATTGTTAAGTTCCACCTAATCTCGCATGATCTTCTATTATTTCATTTTAAAGTTTCGTACCCCATAATTCTAAAACATGCTGAATTAGCTTTGAAATTTGATTATTACATTTTCAGTGAGTGTAGGATTGGTCACTTACTTCGACTATTATACTGCCACCAACACGTTTTAAATTTACTTTATACTTGTTACTTTGTATCTATAGCCTTTTCTTCTGTTGAAGGGCCGATGAAATCTATGCTTAAATCCAACTCAAGATTTGATAAAGCTTTATAACCTTTTCTTCTTTTTTTTCCCTCATTTTCAAATTTGATTTAAATAGTTTTGTTTCAACTAACAGCTTAAGTGCATTCTGCAGATGAAAAAAGCTTTCTCTCTCTCTTCTCTCTCTAGAAATCTTTCAGAGATGAGTGAAAGTTTTTTTCCTTTTGATTCGCCGACCGGATGTTATTCCGGTGTTTATCTTGGCCCGATTTAGTCGGTTTTTTGTCTGGCATCTCCAGCTTCTCTAGTGGTGATGGCTGGCTCTTGCCCGACAGCGTTCGGTTTCCATAAACGGCGTTGGTCGGATCCTGGTTACCCTCTGCCATAGATTGGGCTTCCTTCCTTTTAATAATCTCATAGATTCTGAGTTGGTAATAGCGGTTTACGTGATTCGTCACTTAAAGTTGATTATTATCTGGCTCGATCTTTTGAGTTTGCGATTTACAGGAATCAATCCAGAAATTTGCGATGTAAGTTGAAGAAAAGAAAGAAGTTTTCGTTGCATATTTAGATTGCCTTTAGCTGCTAATTCTCTATTTGGAGTTTCGATTGGTTTAATACCGGTGAAATCCAGAAGAATCAAGCTTCGATTTCATTATCGTCGATGATTTCTCTCACCGGAATCGATGCTCGGACGGCGGAGGTTGATGACGAAACGCTTTAGATTACTCATCCACCGTGTGGCTGTGTTGTTTCCAGCTATTGACACGTGGAGTTGGATGGAGCCACGATATCATTTCTTCTCCATTAAGCAATGTTGTAAGGCTCATGTTGGGCTGAAAATGTTTCTTGTAATCTCAATGTTTGTGGGGCTTTTGGTTTTAGCCCATGTACGGTTTGTTATCTTTAATAAGATTTTACTTATGAGAAAAAAAAAAAAAAGTGCATTCTGCAAGATATATTTTGTTTAACAAGCAAATGGAAGGCCCATTAATGGAAAGTGCTTAATTTTTGTAGAGATACAAAAAAAAACCGAATTTTTTTTTTGAAAAAATAGTAAAAAGTATTTCACTATGCAGGAGGTTACACTTCAAATTTTCAAAACACATTCTTTCTTTTATTGTATTATTTGTTAGGAAAGTCTCTGGATATTGAGTTGCAGTTTTTTAGGCCTTTGAACACTACAAATTAGACAACAGGAAAAAGCCTCTGGATAGGAATTTGTTCTTTATTATGTAACACTACAAAATGAAGGATAAAAAAAACACACACTACAAAATGGACTGATCGAACAACAGCAGTAGTTGGTAGTTGAATATTTGATAGAGAGAAGTGATTCAACAAACAACAATCGGTGGAGAATGAGAAAGGTCATAAAATGAGTAAAAGAAGAATGTGTGGTGTGGTTGGAGCAAATCAAACTTCAGAAGGAGGTTTCAATCTGATGAGTCGCTTGATCCTGTCTTTGTCGGTGTTCTCCAGAAGTCCGTTCCAAACGATTTCATCAAGACACAAGCAAATCCTTCCATATTTATCCAAAAACACTCGCTCGGTTGGAGGCTTTCCGCATACGTCTTTCACAGCCGCTGTTATGATATATATGGTTTCTGCCACTGCACCACAGAAAAGAACAACACGGAATCAAAAACTCTGAATGAAACAGAGATCAGTTAGTTTACAAAGAGGAGAAAAGGCTTACAAGCAAGTTCATCGTACTCGTCTTTGCCAACAAGGAAGATGCTAACATCCCCTAGCATTGTGTACACGATATAAACCGACCTGCACAACAAACTCTCTGTTACTTGTATACCCAAAAAACTGTTGTTTGTTTAATTTCGTAGTTTTATCGAACATGATACTAGAGGTAGAATGATGTACTTGTGGCAAGCAACGAGAAGCTCCTCATTTTTAACGCCTTTGAGATTATCTGCTCCCAACTTGACCAAGAAAGATCGCCAGTGGAGCCGTTCCTCAGCTGGTACTCCATTGAACCTGCAAGATAAATGCTTCTGATGATTTGCTACTAAAGATTAGACAAGTCACGTGTGTTGGTGATCAGACACCCTCAATTTCAGATCTACTAGGTGATCCCAACTCTGTATCAGTGGTAATTTCGACCCACTTGCCTTGCAAGCGAAATTCCACAATGTGATAAGGGAGCACAATGATATACTTAAGGTATTGAGAATATATTTGGAGCAAAAGCCAATACAATTAAACTAGGCAAGTGGGTCGAAACTACCACTGATAAAGAGTTGGGGACAAAAACAATGTAGATGCATCGCAAAACATGAAACTTTATCTTCTCCAGAATCAAAAGTTTGAGATATCTCCAGATCTAGTATGCACAGAGGGAAATTGAAATCTAATCTCAACCAAAGAGTAGTCAGAGACACTACATATGAATTCCAAGGAAAATTCAAGCTATCGAAAACCCTAATCTGACAATTCAACAAAGTCATAACCCAGATCCACAAAGAAGAACAATCCCCCTACAGCAATGTTCGATCTGGGTCCATAGAGAATCAAGCCAATAAGGTTGCTATCAATTGCTTCGATGAGAAGATTGGAGGAAAAGAGAGAAATTGGGATCTAAAGAGCCAACCTTTCGATCAAAACATTTCCAACGGAGTTGGCGAACAACACGGCTAGGATCATGATCTTCCTCTCTCAAGTTTCTTCCTTTTAGCCTTTCTTCGGGATCCTTTATCGATTCTACTTCTTCTCTACCTCAAATCATTTTCGCTTCTCTTACTTTTTTCTTTTTACTTGGGTCATTTTTTTACTTTTCAACATTTACTTTTCGTAATTAGTAATTACTCAACAAAGCCTTAAATAAAATTTGACAAGGGGCTTTTCCGTAATTACATTGGTTCGAATATTTGAACTTTTTTTTACAAAATGGATTTCTTGACAAAAGTCTTCCGATGAGTGAAGGCTTTCTCTCTCTTCTCTCTCTAAATTTTTCAGAGAGAGAAAGCGATTCTCGGCAAAAGCAAACTCCTTTCCGGCATCGACCGATTTTTTATCGGTGATGGTTGGCTCTCTTCCAGCATCAGCCGGCTTCTTTAGCGGCGGTGGCTGGCTCCTTTCCAGCATCAATTGGCTTCTTTAGCGGTGGTGGCTGGCGCCTTTCCAGCATCGTCCGACTTCCATAGCGGCGGTGGCTGGCTTCAGATTCTGGCGTGTTCGCCATCTTCTCCGGCGTACTCGGCTGGCTTTGCTTTACGGCTATCAGTTGCCGTATTTTATCTTTCTCTTGAATAAAGTGCTGCGATTTCTTCTCCCATCCTTGACGATGCTTTTCTTGGCTCTTTTTCGGTTCGATCCGCCGCCGTTCACAAGATATGTGTTTGGCTTTGGTGTTGCCGTTTGGGCGGCTCAAGGTAGTCTCCTCCACAAGAAAATTTCAACTAGATCTGATCGAGATCTGTTACGGTTTTGTTTCCTCAATACCGGATCTATGTCGTTTGTGTTCGACAAAACCACCGGCCTTGGCTCCTTTAAACCGACGGTTTCAATTCACCTCAATCGAGGCTCCGTCATGCCATTTTAGGAAGCAAAAATCTTAATTGTCGAAGTCGTTTTATTATCAAGTGAGGACAAGAGACTTGAAGATCAATTCTAAAATTGACTGTTTTTAGCGATTTCATCCTTGTCAAGTCTATGGAAAGCAATTACGAGTGAAGGTTGTAAGAAATTTAGAGAATCCATAAACGTGGCTTTTAGTTTGTATTTCTCGTTTCCCTGTTGCCGGATCTTGTTACCGGAATAAAGCTGATGTATCCCTGTTCTTGGGGTTTGTAAGATATTTGTTTTAATAATATTATCCTTTAGAGAAAAAAAAAAAAAAAAGACAAAAGTCTTCCTGCCTTTCATTATTGGGTCTTCATTATTTGATATAACTACGGTTAAATCTTGTGAACTGAAATAGCCACTCTGTGAAATGAATATACCCATATCTTTCTTGTTAATTTGTCTGTTTTTGTATGATGGTATAGGTGGACGTAGATACTTGATAGGTAAGTGAGATGGGAAAGAGAAGAGATGTTGATAGTTAAAAAATGAAAGGTCAACATCAATGGAGAGTTAAAAGGAAATGTGTCATTATTCCAAATCTAACGAGAGAAAGTAGAGACCACCTTTTTCATTCTTGTTATCTTCATTATTTCATTTTCTCCCTCTTTTACACTACTTGCATGTTATAGCCAATTTTCTCTGTAAATTAAACTCGTGAGCTTGGGGAAAGAATAAAAACAAAAATTATATTACATTGTGTGAATGGCTTAAGTGCAAGTTACAGTTAAAGAGGACAAGTCATAAAGATGAGCACAAACAAGTACAAACAAGCTTCTGTGGAAGTTAAAGTTGAACCTCTTCTTTAACCTAATTCGTTTTGCCCTTCATTTGTACTTTTTTTTAAACCTAAAGAATCCTAACTCTTATCATTTCTGCTGTTTTAAAAACTTCCATCTTTTATTTTTATATGAAGTTTATTGATGTATTAGTTTATAGATTGATATCTTTTTGTCACGTTTGTGTTACGACACTTGTGGAAATTTTATTTGCATGTGATTAATCGTACAAATTTTGGTGGACAAAACTCAAATGGTTGATTTGGGAGGTTTTAAGGATTCAATCATCGTCGTTGATGCAAAACGTCACAATTAGACGTTGATATATTTTATATAAAAAATAAGATAATACATATGCGTGAGATTATATTGATGAATTTATTATATATACAAATACAAAAACAGAAATGAAAGATACGTTCATGATCAATAACAATCTTTTTTGGTTTTAAATTAATGCGCCTTCCTCTCTCGGTTAGACAAAGTACGTTATGTAGAGACTATAGTAGTAGTCCATTTTCGTTTGTTTAAGCATCTTCTTTTCAACTTCTGAATATATCCATCTTCTACGTACGAAAAATAACAGAATTCATTTTGGACCTGATGGACTAGTGATCCTAAATCCTCCGTATATTCCGAGTATACCTCATAACGAAGGTTCAATATATGGTGGTCATGTGACCACTAAACAAGCTTAATAGTACTGGTAATTAATTTGAAGTTCCATTGCGATTAATTATAGATCTGGCTAAGTGGCTATAAGACCAAAAATCATATTCCTTCAGGCTTAATTACGGCAAACTACGAGATTCTGTTGGAGGGATTCCTGGGAATGCATTATGTGAATTGTATTTCATTGATTAATGTTGTTGTAGACTACTACTCTAGACTCATGCGTGCAATTAACAGAATCCCACTAAAAAGAACAAAAAATCTGAATGCATGTGTTTTGTGGGGATACATGATATATATTACAAACCTAATTTCACCAACTATTTAATTTCTCTGAGCAATTAAAACATTGAAGAGAAAGATAACTCATCAATCAACACTTTTAATATGTAGTTTATTTCATATATACATTTAATTCGAAAGTGATGCAAAGAAGATCATGGGTGACCTCCAAATATATTCAAATATTAATTTAGAGTTTATCTAGATAAGGCATTTACGCAAAAGATTATTGGCAATTAATTTATGATTTGATATTTTGATTAATGAAATTTTCAGATGTTTTTTTTTTGTTTTAAGTTTCTAACAGTTACGACGATTCGACGTTTTAAAATTTTTTTTGGATATTCGAATAATTAACATCAAATTTGTATTGTCGACGATCCCGCTATATTGAAGATTGGGTCTTCTTTGATCAGTCTCATTTAATCAGGAGACAAAGTCACCTTCATTAGAAGCTTTGCTATCATTTTTCATTTTTTTTTCCTATCATTTCACGTCCTCTTGTACTATGTAACATTATATAATTTATTATTCTATGAATCTAATTATAAGACTAACAAAGAATACAAAAAGAAAAAGGTCACTTCTGGATTTTAGTTACAAACACCAATACTTTATTAGATACAAATGTGGAAATAAGAGAAACAATATATAGCTAACACCTTTTAAATATAAAAACGATATATAAAATACACAGTATAATTGATTATTATGGCTGTAAATCAGCAATAAAAATAGGTACATATATATAAGCAAATAAGGTTTAGTTTGTATTGAGAAGCTCCTCTATCATTTGCAAAGCAACCTTCTCTTCCTCATCCAACCCTTCTTCTCCTCTGCCACCAACCTCAAGTTCAGTGGTCGGAGCAAGATCGTCTTGTGAAGCTTTACTAGTAGTCTCTTGGGAGGAGCTGGCGGGACCGAGCTCCACCGTCATGACCCAGCTGGAGTCAGACTTGGAACCGGCCCGTTTCTGCCAGACGCCGATGTGGGAGCTGGCCGTATCGAGACGGAGGCAGGTGAGGGATGGAGAAGGAGACTTGCAGCATTTCCTCAGTTTGGCGCTGAGGATGGAAGAGAGCGATGAAGATGATGAGGATGATATTGTGGACGAAGATGAAATATCGGTTTTGCCCTCGGATGTGTCTCCGGTGTTGTTGTTGAGGGGAAAGTTGGTCTTGGCGTTGCGGCCGCTCATTAAAACGGCGGCCTCATCGTATGCTCTTGCTGCCTCCTCCGCGGTCTCGAACGTCCCTAGCCAAATCCTCCGCTTCCTTTGTTTTTATAATAATCATCATGCATGTCAAAATTAATGATTAAGCATGGTGAATATAGTCGAACTAAGCAATAACTTATTAATATTTACGTATCTAGATGTAAAAATGGATTTCATGTGTTAGCTAAGAAGAGGGAAACAACAGCAGAAATGAGTTAGACGATCATGTATATATATATGTATGTGGTTGTGTACTTAAATGAATCAGATAGGGGAAATAAATGAATAACGCAGAAAAAAGGAAAGAAAGAAGAAAGGTACAAGAGAGGATGACGAATCTCAGCGACCCAAGAACCCCAATGGCGTTGCCTGACACCTCTGAACTTCTTCGTCTGTACCATTCTTACTTACTCTGTGTTTTTTGTCAGAGAGAAAGTAGGAACTTGATGATGAGTAATATATGTAAGATGGATGTTTGGTAAATGGTAATGTAGTATATTTATATACATAGGTTAAATTTTGGTGGATGAAAAGGTGTACTTGTTCCTACTCTTATTACATTTGACGTCCTCGCTAGTGTATTATAGAGAGAGAGAGAGATATAGAATTTAGCTGGAGTTGTTGGTGTAGATTGATTGCTAATGTGAAGGATGGTTATTATAAGGGTAAACAATTTAAATTTCAAAGGTTGGATCGTATATATGTAGAGATGCACAAGTGGTACAAGTATCACATGGCCGTGTATATTGTTTTTAGCATACGTACATCCTAATCAATCGTCCACATCATATAGCTAGGTACGTACTACACCTCTCTCTGTGTTTAATTTGATGCTTACTTATATATGTATACAACTTCGTATGTACGTGTAACCCTTTTGCGTTCACCATTAACTGCAAAATTTTATATCTAAGTAGAGTGGTAATTAAGACCGAACATCAGTCCATATTAATGTTTCGTTTATATAATACTACTATGTTGGTTAACAACCAACACTAACCATCGGCTAAATCATAATTGTCAATCCAATCCCCAAGACTTATAAGCTTTAGTTTGGAGTAAATTTAAGTAGTGAATTTGAAGAGGATTATCAACCGTAAAATGATTGCCACATAAAGAAAACACGTAATAAGCGCTGGGAAAAGTGGTTGTTCACTCGCGATCAAATATAACACATGCGATGTATATAACATACATAGAGAGGGAAAAGTGATTATATAATTAGACATTGACAACATGTACAAGTTAAAAGTAAAAGAAAGGACAAAAAAATAAAGAAAAGCGTGGTCCATGTACATGTATATTGTGTAATTAGTATAAGGTTTTGTCCACATATCTAGTTGATTATCGTACACACAGCCTAAGCCCTAACTGTCAAATCGGGTCCCGATTAAGGCTGTTTAGGTGTCAATCTTATATCTATTTCCTTTTAATTTTTGAGCAAACATCTTTAACCTAATGTATGCTTATATTTAATATATAATATAATATGGTTTATACATTTTTGTTTTTGAGGTACTAATTTGGTGGTGGCTGGTTATCATAGGGTCCCCACCTCCATGAGTCCATGACCGATATTTCATGCTTATAGTCTCTTCATTAACTCTTGTTCATACTTGTGTTTGGAACTTGCATGTCATTGTTCCTTTCAATTATCTAGCCTTTTTATTTCATTTTTGTTGTAGACCTTTGTAGCTACTTAATATTGGATGATTGATGATAGTTGTACTCATGTGTAATTTGGACCTGGTAGTAAAATCATAATTTTTTTATTTGGTAGTATAATCTCGATCCATCAGCTTCGTTATTTGGTAGTATAATCCTCCTCGTTATTTTTATCTGGATAAAATTTACGTACAATGATTTTCAAAATGCTATATATTTTAACAAAATCGTATGAAACACGAAAATCACGTGATTGAATTCTCCGAAAAGGTTCAAAGTTTCAAAGAATAAGAAAATCAACTTGCAAGAGGCCAAAGATGTTTCAACCAAAAGGCAAAAGTTTCCTAACAGCGAATTTGACGGGTTTATGAATCTCCTTTTCTGGCACTCACTTACGTCTGCACGTGTTCTCATGTGTGAACCAAATGGCCCGATTAAATAAAAATGGGCCTATATATTGGGCCTATATTGGGCCATACTGATGTCCAGAATGAATGTAACAAGTTAGGTTTTACCGCAACGGCGCGAAGAACAGTCAATCCCGAAATAGAAGTGATCAAATGCCAGCACATGCCACCTTAATTTCTCCACAAGAAACCGTTTCCTTCTTCTTTATTCAACTCTGATCAACGGCCATTCGTCAAAATTTGCTAAATTCAAAGGTGTTTGTTTTGTCTTCACTTTCAAATTTCTCCATAAATTGTTTTGTTTTTCCATTTTCTAGTTCTTTAGAATCGAATGAAAATGAAATGTTTCCATCTCCCACAGGTCTAAGAATTATGCAAGATTGGCTTGATCTTTGATTAGTCTTGTTCAAATAATATCTTTACAGATTTGTGCTTGGATGCAAAAGAGTGGACATTGCTTGTGCTAATGGCTTCAAGGATTCAGATTTCACACCCAAGTAGTGGTAGATTTTGTGGGACAGAATATCATCTGTTCATGTAAAAAAACTTATTTGCTTTCATATTTTTTATCAGCCATGGGATCGAATCCGTGAATCAAGCAGTAACCGCAGCAATCGACCACTGCGAAAAAGGCTAACAAACGAAAATAGTGCATTGATAAGAGCTTTATGTGAGTATGAGTGGTCACAGAGAACATATAAATTCAAGGCATACGAGGGAAATCTTCCTAACATCTTCATCTCTGTCTTTTTCTTCACTGTCTTCCTCTGTTTCTTGGGATGATGCCGTAGAGCTAAGTACAAAAGAGTCCAAAGCATCATCTTCTGAGGATACGAGTCAGCAGAATGGGGTACTTTCAAATGCTTCTTCTTCTAAAGGCTCTGACATATCGGGTGTGACTCATGTCAGGATGCAGCCTCCTTCTTCTGAAATATCGGGTTTGACTCATGTCAGGATGCAGCCAGCTCCATCTCCACCTTCGAGGTTACGACCAGTTCACTTGATGAATAAAGGTATAGCGAATTACGATCCCGGGAGAATCCCTGCATCGGTGTTTGGCAAGAATGGAGATGTGACTTGGAGCGAGATTTCGAATGAGTCTTTGTTTAGTCTGAAAATTGATGGGTATAGAAAGTCAAACGCTCAAGCGCCTCGTCAAAGCAATTTAAAACCTGAAGAAGTTTTGATGTCGGGTGAGTTCTTGAGATACTCTCCGTCTCTAGTAGTCAAGCCTGAGGATGCAAAAGAGAAGAGATCTGAAGTGAAAGAGATAAAGAATGAAGAAACAAGAGTTAAGAGTCACATTCGTCAAGAGAAGTACCCGTCATTTCCAGATGTCCCATTGAGTAGTATCCCCAGCAACTTCTATTGCCTATATGCGCCGCCGATAAAAGGTCAATCTTATTCCCGTCCTGTCGATGAGAAAAAGAGTAAGAAGAGAAAGAGAAGAAAGAACAAGAAGAAGAATAAAAAGGAGAAGAAGAAGAAGACGAAGGAGTGTTGTACTTGCATGTGGTCTTGGTTGTGCTCAGTATTTTCAAAGTGAGTGTGTGACTTGCGTTGCTACAAATGGAGAAAGTGTGGCTGCTGCTGCAAAGGGTCAAAAACAATGTTTTTGTAATCATGAGAGTTATGTGTTGACATCTAAACAACTATCTTTATTGCATCCTTAATGCTTAATGTATTCTTACACTTATGGTTAACAATTTTTCATCTATGGTCTTATATTGATTCCTGCAGACTATTTTTTGTTCATTATAGAAATTGATCATGTATTATTACAAGCTGTATGGGAAACATGATGAGTGGGGTTGATTATAGGCATGGAAGATGCACAATTATTTGAACTATAAGGTCATACCAAACACACTATGTCACTATATACATATATTCGCCAATTATTAAGTTTCTTCGAATTATTACAAGTTCAAGTTCTTTGATTTGGTTGATTATGTAAAACTACAAGAATACCCTCAGTGCCAAGAGATCCGTATAACGGCTGGAGGGATGAATAATAACTTCTCTGGGTCTTGGAAAAAAGGCAAATCATTTCAAAGCGAAAGGAAAAGGGAAAACGTAAAGAGGGCAGAGCCCTTCTTCTTCTTCTTCTCCGAGAAGGAGCTTGCAGCCTCAGTTTTTCAAGGATTCTTTTCGATGCCCAGTTGATGAAGGAAGCGACTTTATTTTAACCAACGAGATTTTATCATCAGGTAAGCAAACCTATTTGATTCGTAGATTCTTTTGTATTTTATTAAACATGTTTTGTTCGATGTTGATTGGTTTCTTCTTTGGCTTTTATCTATAGGGTTTGTTAATTGGTGTGTTGATTTGACAAGGATCACCCTCTGAGAAAATCTCGAGCTTTCCCAGATCTATCGGAGCTCCTGGGTTTATAAATCGCTGACTTCACAATCGATGGGGTGCGTTTCTTCTTTCGATTTCTGTTTTTGACTTTATGCAGAATGTTTTGGTATTTGATTGATTTAGATTTGAGATTCTGTTTGATGGGTTTTGTTCCTTCCTTATGTGCTGCTGCTTGGGTTCATGTTCATGAATCATGATAGATAAACCCTAATTCTATTGATGGGGGAAGGGAGGAACTAAGGTTGTTTTGATAGATATGTCTGAAAGATTGGTATGGAAACTAGGGAAATAAGGATGTGTTTGGGCAATGATCACAAGTTATGGTTTTGTAACAGAGCAGTGGCTGCGTGGGTTGCTACAGAGAACACAGATCAACTGCCACCACTCTGAAGGATCCACCTTCCAATTCCATTGCTCGACCGTGTAAGAAACCTAGTGTCTCCGAAGATTTCTGGTCAACAAGCACTGTTGATATGGACAACATCACCTTCCCTTCACAGGGGAGCTTATCATCCAACCAGACTTTTGATTCTCAGTCTGGTGCTAGAAACTCTAATGCTCCTCCTGAATTTGTTAATCAGGGTACGTTCTTTGTGGATTGTGGATTTCACGGTAGGGGGTCTAGTGTTTTGTGATATGGTTATATATGAAGTGGGTTTGTGTGTTTGCAGGTCTTCTTCTTTGGAATCAGACACGGGAGCGTTGGGTGGGCAAGGAAAAACCCAACAAGCCGGCGGATCGCAATCAAGGAGCCAAGTTAAAGTGAGTGGCTCTGTTATACACTATTGTTTCATGAAAGCCAAGGGATAAGTCTGACAATGTTACATTTTATATGTCATCATTTGCAGTTGGAACGCAGCAACGTATGATAGCTTGCTGGGGAGCAACAAGTTATTTCCCCAACCCATTCCTCTCACCGTAAGTAATCAAACTCTTCTGACTGCAGGAAATTAGGAAAAAAACCAGTCATTAATTGTGTTGCTGATGAAATCAGGAAATGGTGGATTTTCTAGTGGACATATGGGAAGAAGAAGGTCTATATGACTGATGAAACAAGACTTGAAAGACACACACACATACACTGGTTCGGGCATTTCCGATTTTTTTCTTTTCGGTTTTGTTTTCATTTGTTACCACTTACCATCTTTCATTTGGAGTTGATCGAGAATACTGGGAAATGTGGCTCATACGTTTTCACCGTAAATGAGATATATCCCTTGTTATACCATCTTTCAGTCCAAAAGATTAAGACCAATCAGTATCTTAATCTGGGACATGTTCTTCTGTCTTTTTTTTCTTTGGTTAAGGACATGTTCTTGTGTCTCCTGTCCCACTTGCACATTGTTCCTACCTTCCAGGTGATCTGTCAGTGTTTAATTTCCACATTATATACATTTTTTTTAAAAATGATTAGAGGACATTCCCTAAATTAATGCTTCACTAATTAGGATTAGACTTGTGGCTAGTAGAGAATCTGAACCTAAAAGTAGTATCAAAGCAAAAAATTGTTCCGAATAGTAGTAATTGGGCCATTTGACGGAAAAAAAAATATAGTAATTGGGCCATTAATTTGGGCTTTTAGAATGGAGAGTAGTAGGAGAGTGGGAATAAAACAGAAAAAGCATATTCGCCGGCGGTCACGTACCGGACCTCAACCACACTCTCCATTCTACTTTACTAAGCGGGAAACAGATGCTTCCTTATCCATCGACGAAATGTCGACCACACTGGACACGTGTCGATCTGAAAGAGGTCTGTCACTAAACTATCACGTCGTCCCAGTGTAAATTTATCATCCACGCTCTCGTGGATTACGTGGAGGCAGAAATATCAATTTTTGTTTGAAAAAAAAAGGAATAAAAAAATTAAGACAGAACAGAAGAGACACGCAAACATATCCATTAGTCACAACGGTTTCTTGCAGCTTCTATTACCAGAAAGGAAAGAAAGCCGAAATTTGTTTCAAGATAAGTAGTTTGAGTGGAGCTTGTTTCTGGGTGGTACTGTGGTCAGGTGAAGAGAGAAGAAGAAGATGGAAAACACAGACGAACTTGTCTCCATTGAGCTACCAGCTCCTGCTTCATGGAAGAAACTGGTATCTTCTTCCTTCTTTTTTTTATTTTTATTTTTCTTTTCTACTGTTTCTTGAAATTTCTGCTGTGATTTTCCTTAAATTGATTTTGTCTGTGTAAGAGATTGTTTGTCTGTTATGCTTTCTGTTGTAGTTAGTTTCTTATGTTTCTGATGGTTTAGGGTTTATGTTCGATTTGGGGGATTTCAAGAAATGTTTTGTTTCTAGTCGAATTTGGGACTCTCTATGTTCAATTCATGTGAGATTATCTAATTAGATGAGAATTTAATGGTCAGGGCTTTCTTGGGGGTGTCAAATTAGGGTTTCGGATTAAATTCTCTTTAAACCCTAGATTTGGTTGATGAAATTTGGGGGTTTCTTATAGATTGTGTCTTGTATTGCTGCTAGTTCATGTATCTTTGGTATTTGATTAGTAGAAGCTTGTTTGGTTTCAGTTTTATCCGAAAAGAGCAGGTACTCCGAGAAAGACAGAGATTGTGTTTGTGGCTCCAACGGGTGAAGAGATCAGCTCACGGAAGCAGTTGGAACAGTACCTCAAGGCCCATCCTGGCAATCCTCTCATCTCTGAGTTTGAGTGGACAACTGGGGAAACTCCAAGGAGGTCTTCAAGGATTAGCCAAAAGGTGAAGGCCACAACGCCTACTCCTGACAAAGAACCCCTCCTGAAGAAGAGACGATCTTCTCTTACTAAGAAGGACAATAAGGAGGCTGCTGAGAAAAATGAAGAGGCTGCTGTGAAGGAGAACATGGATGTTGACAAGGATGGAAAGACGGAAAACGCAGAGGCTGAGAAGGAGAAGGAGAAGGAGGGAGTGACAGAAATTGCAGAGGCAGAGAAGGAGAACAAAGAGGGTGAGAAGACCGAGGCTGAGAAGGAGGGTCAAACGGAAATTGCAGAGGCTAAGAAGGGTGAGAAGGAGGGTGAAAAGGCTGAGGCTGAGAACAAAGAGGCAGAAGTTGTGACTGACAAGAAAGAGTCCATGGAAGTGGATACCTCTGAGTTGGAGAAGAAGACTGAGAGTGGAGGAGGAGCTGAAGAACCTTCCAAAGTTGAAGGTCTCAAGGACACTGAAATGAAAGAACCACAGGTAGTTGTTACTGAGGGTGATGGAGAGAAGAAGCCTGCAGATGAAAAGACTGAGAACAAGGGCAGCATGACAACAGAGGCTAACGGAGAACAGAATGTGACCCCGGGTGAACATAACCTTGATGCAGATGCTGAAGTAAATAAGGGAAAAGAACCCAAAGAATATGATGAGAAGAAGAGTGAAGCTGAGGCAAATAAGGGAAATGACGCTCAAGAATCTGATGAGAAGAAGACAGAAGCTGCAGCAAATAAGGAGAACGAAACCGAAGAATCTGATGTTACGAAGACAGAAGCTGCAGCAGCAACAGCAGTAGCAGAGGAGAAGAGTAACGACTTGAAGGCAGAAGACACAAACAGAAGCTTGGAGGCGAATCAAGTTCAACAGCCGCAGGGCTCTGCAGCCTCTGTGAGCTGTTAAAACCTGTATCGTTCTGTACAGAGCACAGAACGTGAAGAGTTTGTTGTGATTTCAGGTGTAGCATTAACATTATGAGTGCTTGTTGTATGTGTTGGTAGAACTAATGTCTCTCTATGTAGTTCAGTTCATTATCATTTGACGTTTGTACCTTTGTACTTTGTTGTATCATTAATGTTAGGCATTTAGACTATTCTTTGTCTCATACTTAGATGAATGACGAGTGATGCCAAGTGAATGATACCTAACACCGAAGTCCCAAAGTAGAAGATTACATGGCAAGATTAAAGAGGTAAAAACGAAGTGAACTCATTGTTTACAAAAGAGCAGATCTTACAAAGGAGAAGACTACATATAGTAAGACAACAGAGCTAAAAACGAAGTGAGCTCATTGATTACGAAAGAGCAGATCTTAGGGAGCGTATGATATCAGTGAGGGAGACGACTCCTTGAAGCAGACCCTGTTGGTCCATCACCCACACTCTGTGCACACCTTTGGTCACCACTTTCTCTATAGCTTCCTCCATAGTCGACTCCACACCACAACTCACCACGTCTCTCTCCTTCCCCGAAGCTTTCTCAGTGAACTCCAAAGCTGTGAGTGGCAGCCACGTCTGCAACTCCGGTAGACGACATCCTTTTAAATCTGTTGCTGAAAACGTACCTATCACTTTCCTATACCTCCCCTGCAATCTCAAAACACAAAAAAATGAAGTACACATTATACATAATCAAAGTATATACCTTCAATGAAGCCTACATTTATTAGCTGTAGATGATCCTCTTGTGCTATATCAGGTGCGTGAACGATGGGGACAGCGTTGAGCAGAGCACCCTTCATAACGTTGATTGCATTGGAAACAGTTGTTCTCTCGGTGATGGCGTAAACGGAATCATTAACAGCTCGAAGATCGGAGATGGAGCGTGAGAGGACAGTCTTGAGGTCATCAAAGTGATGGTCTTTGAGGAACCGCAAGAGATCCATCTGAGTAAGCATCTTGTAAGAAGAGGCTGACTCAATCAACTCAACTCCTGCAATAGTGTTATTGCTCTCTATGCTGCTCTCCACTGGCACTAAAGCCCGATGGATCCCTTTGCTAAACACTTCCATGCACTCTAACAAGCTGGTATTAGGATTCAGTGTCCAGAGACTAAGTCCCTCAAGGCAATGACCGATGATGGATGACACCTGTGAACTCATCTTGCGATCAAGATCAGAGAGATTGGAATCTTCACCGGCGATATGAGCAAGTATGTCAAGCATAGTGAGAATCCCGATGTAGTGTTTTCTTACAACTCCAGTTTGTTTGTCAGACTCCATGATCATGGAACCGCCGGCGCCAATCCAGTGTCCTGGAGGTGCAGCCACTGGGAGGGCTGAGATGGAGTTAGCCACCAATGTGTTCATTGCGTGAGAGAGTGTTGCTGTGTACGGAACCTCCACGAGCCGTCGGTTTCTGGCCGTTAGATCTTTGGCCGTGACATTGATCAGACGGCTGTGATCTTCTTTGCTCTTCTCTTCTTGCATAGTGTTAGTGTTGTCGTGGCTTGAACGTGTTGCTTTAGAACCTTTTTAAGTGTCGATAGTGGCTCGAAATTTGATGTGAATGGATTAGGACGGCGTGTGATGATGATCCAGAAGCACGTGGCAATCGATATTGCTTGTGACATGGTACACGTGGTAGTCATCGTTTACTTGGGCCTCTTAGCAAACGGCCCAGTAGAATGTTTAATGACCAAAATAGCCCTTCGTCTCTTTTTGCTTACTTAAATTCAATATCTCCCTCGCGTCCGCGAATGAAACGACTTGAGAATCCAAGAACGTGGGAAAGAAATCAGCTGTGAAGAAACACGAAGATGACGAGAATGGATGTGGCGCGCCTGTGAGTATCTTTCTCTTTGTATCTTAGCTGCATTACTATGCCTCAATGAGCGTGATCGTTCGAGATTTGGTCGATTTCTGTTTGGAGATTCTGTGTTTCTATGGTTCAATCTCTTGGATTTAGGGGTTTCTTTATTTTATTTCCCATTTATTGTAAGGATAACTACGGATTAATCCTTCCTCAGTTAAGCTTGATTAGTAGTTCGGTTTCTTTCTGAGATTGCGAATGTGAATTGATGCAAAAATTGCCTCTTTTTGATGAATTTCATAATGGATATGGATGCATTTGAGGATATTTGCAATGAGATTACAAGATTTGATACTTGTGAAAATCAGCTTATTTGCTTATGGTTAATTGGGTTTGTCTTCCTGCAACGTAGTGAAGAGAATGGATTTGAAGAACCCAACAATGGGGAAGAACTTTCATGGGATGATCTGGAGAGAGAAGCTGCTAGTAATATATCGTCTAAAAGATCTCAGGCCGGGAGATCGCACCAGCAAGACTCTTCTAGAAAAGGTATCTGAGCAAAGGGTTTCTTTCTGAAAATATGTTTTTGAGTTTTGTAAATGGTGAAACTTGTGCTAAAGTCATGGCAATGGTATCTGTTTTGTCATCATGCTAATGTTAGTGATGCATAAAATCTTTGATTGACCAGGTGATGAACTTTCTGGTGACTTGTATGAACTGTGGAGGCAAGAACAGAACAGCATTGCCGCAAGACTAGACAAAGAGCTTAAATCCAGGTGGGAACTAGATGAACTGATTGAAGAACAACTGAGCAGATACCAGTCCCATTACTACAAGTCCATGGTTTCAACGTCCTTAAAAGATGTCTCTAACCTCGTCCTACCCACGTGGCTACCGCCTCATGAGCTAGCTGCCGTGGCCTGGCTTGGAGACTGGCGTCCCACCTCCATTCTCGACCTTGTCCGCATTCTGGCCGCTCATAACCCCTCCTTCTCTCTGTCTGAGTCGAGTGAACGTGTGCTCTCTCAGCTTCTCCGTGAGATACGCATCGAGGAGGCCGTGATCGATGAGGAGTATGCAGAAATTCAGGCCACCTGTGTCCTGCACCTTCCTTTTTCCCCGCTCTGCAATACTCGGTCGCATGAAGAAGCTCTGCGTTCTGTGCAGGAGCTGTTTGGGAACATCCATAAAGTCATCTCAAAGGCACAACGACTCAGGTTTGCTTTCTTCTCCATCATAAATAAAAGAGAATTGTTGAGGATGAACGGAAACATATAGCTGACACTAGATATAGTGGTTAATGATGTCTTAGTTTTTTTAAGTTAGGTGAAAGCTTTGATCAGCATATATGATTGGCAGGTATAAAGTGTTGAGATGATTGGCAGGTATAAAGTGTTGGAGCTGGTGATGAAGAAGCTTCTGAATCAAACGGATACAGCCGAGTTCGTGGTCGCATTTGCAGGGATTCAAGACGCCATCCACCAGTTTGGAGAGCAGAAGAAGCTAAGAAAGTATTACCCAGCAGTTCCTTCACCTCTGAAGGGATCAGGATCATCTAGTTGAGAGCTATGTAGGAACAAAGCAAGTCCCATCCAGAGTAAAACTAAGTGCTGTGATGCGGGATCTGCCTGCTTGAAACTTGTGCCTTTTCATCAACTCATATATGTCAGTTACTTTAGGATGTACATGTTTAGGTGTCACCGACCATTATGTTCTTTGGAGGCAATGGTCATAACAATGATAAAACCAATTCTTGTGTACAACTTGCTCAGGCTCTTCTTAACAGGCAAATTTGGGTCAACTTGCTTGAATGGCCAATAGTTTGCAGCATGTGACCCATTGGGCCTGTTTTGCATCTTTAGGCCCATTTAGTTTCATATGCTCTCCGACTTCGAAACCGTCGTTTTAGGAATAAAGCCTCATCTTCTCCCCCCTGACACGTCAATCTCCCACAAAAGATCTTTGATCAAAAATTGAGCCCTATAAGTCCTTGATCTTTGTTGAATCGCACAGCACAGCAGCGAAAAATGGTGTTGGCGGAGCTCGGCGGCCGGATAACCCGCGCTATACAGCAGATGAACAATGTGACAATAATCGATGAAAAGGCTTTGAATGATTGCTTAAACGAGATAACTCGCGCTTTGCTCCAGTCCGATGTTTCTTTTCCCCTTGTGAAAGAGATGCAGACCAATATTAAGAAGATCGTTAACCTCGACGATCTAGCAGCTGGCCACAACAAACGGCTGATCATTGAGCAGGTTTTGTTTTGCCGCAAGTCTAATTCCTGATTAATTTCCAAAACTCGGTGAAAAAACGGGTTAAACTTAATTCTGTATTTTCTTTAGTTCTTGTGATATAATTGATCATGATTATCTTTCAGGCTATCTTCAATGAACTCTGTAGGATGCTGGATCCAGGAAAGCCTGCCTTTGCCCCCAAAAAGGCCAAACCTAGTGTAGTTATGTTCGTTGGGTTACAAGGTCGGGTCTCTGTAAGATGCTATACTGTTTTTAACCCTTGGTTGATTCTGGTGTGTAGATAGATTACATGAGTGTTAATTTTGTTCCAACTTTTTTTTGACTATGTTTAGGTGCTGGAAAAACCACAACATGTACCAAGTATGCTTACTATCATCAGAAGAAAGGGTACAAAACAGCTCTAGTGTGTGCGGATACTTTCAGGGCCGGTGCTTTCGATCAGCTCAAACAGAATGCCACCAAGGCTAAGATCCCCTTTTATGGAAGGTACTCAAATCAACCCATTTTACGTGTTATGAGATCCTCTTGTCTATTCCCTTTGAGTGAAGATTTATATCTTAGTATTCAGCTTTCTTCTTGCTTTCTCGTAAGACCTTTGGTGTTTGCATTTCCAAAGGATATTATAAGCACTCATACAAAAGTTTTCTGTGTAAAAATGATGGTATTTGTGACGGTAGAGGTCAAGGTACAAAGTTTATGAAATTGTTTGGTTTAGACTCGAGGTTTATTTTAGGTCTATGGTTACTTACCATGTTTCTTTATCAATCATCTAGTAGGTTTCCATCATATCTATTCAGTTCTTTCTGTGCCACTTACCTTTAGAGTTTCTTTAAACCCTTTTTTCTTGCGTTGTCTTTTGTTTGGACCTTGGGAATTTCTATCAAAGGATCTCACATCTTTGTCAAAGAGCTCAACAATTTAAATAAATGGATCTTTTGAGGTCTTGTGTTATCTTCTGTTTCTATTTGCAATGACTGCGAATACGCTATTTGTAGTTTTGGATTTACTTCAATGACGGTAACAGAGGGAAATGAAAAAATAAATAAGATATTCTGGATTAAAACTATTCTCTAGAGCGTAGTGTGGTAGCATAATGTGCTAATGCTGACAGAAAAAATGCTAATTTGTGATTCTTTGCAGCTACACGGAATCCGATCCTGTGAAAATTGCTGCTGAGGGAGTTGATAGGTTCAAGAAAGAAAAATGTGATCTTATTATTGTTGACACCAGTGGTCGCCATAAACAAGAAGCTTCTCTCTTTGAAGAAATGCGTCAAGTTGCTGAAGCAACGGTATGCTCTGTTGTCTTGAAGTCTTTTCTTTGTTCCTGGTTGGTGTTGCAGGCTCTGATCATGGTGTCTTCTCACTGTACAGGAACCAGATCTTGTTATATTTGTTATGGATAGCAGTATTGGTCAAGCTGCATTTGATCAAGCTCAAGCATTTAAGCAAACTGTATCTGTTGGAGCTGTTATTATTACTAAGATGGACGGCCATGCCAAGGGGGGTGGTGCTCTTAGCGCGTAAGTATCTTGTAGCTACTGAGTCTTCATGTGTACTCAAAATGGTCAATATGAAAATCTTGCTGGCTTTTCTAGTTGAACAAGTGAATCTGAGCCATTTTCATCTTGTTAGTGTAGCAGCTACAAAAAGTCCTGTGATATTCATTGGAACAGGAGAGCATATGGATGAGTTTGAAGTGTTTGACGTCAAACCATTTGTCAGCCGTCTCCTAGGTAACTTTCATGGAATTTATTGAAGATTAGCAGCATTGTGAGGAGTAATCAGAGGCTCCCCATGGGTTATTGACTCAGAATCTTGATAATGTCTATGTACAACAGGAAAGGGTGATTGGTCTGGACTCGTGGATAAACTACAAGAGGTGGTACCTAAAGATCTACAGCATGAACTTGTAGAAAATCTCTCTCAGGGTAACTTTACGTTGAAAACTATGTACGACCAGATCCAGTGTTCTCTGCAGATTCCTCTTAAACAGGTCAGAATCTCTTGTTCAATAGTAGTCTGTACCATGTGCTGATGATTAAACAAAACAATGTGTTGGTTGTGTAGCTTTACTCGATGCTGCCTGAAATTAGTGCTGAATTGATGCCGAAAGGACATGGTGACGAAAGCCGAGTGAAGATGAAGCGATACATGACAATGATGGATTCTATGACAAATAAAGGTGAGAACAATTTGTTATATGGAGAAAGTTTCTCAGTATAATTCATAGTAGTTTTGAGCAAAATGTGATGGGTGGTTTGTGCAGAACTGGACAGCTCAAACACAAAGGTGTTTAACGAGTCAAGGATAATGCGGATAGCGAGAGGGTCAGGGAGGTTAGTAAGAGAAGTGATGGAGATGTTGGAAGAGTACAAGAGGATAGCAAAGACTATGAAAGGGATCAAGATCCCAAAGAATGGAGACATGAGCAAGGTCATACCGCCTCAGATGCTAAAACAGATGGGCGGCATGAGCGGTCTGCAGAGTCTGATGAAGCAGATGGGTTCGGCTAAGGACATGATGGGAATGTTTGACAAGTAGTTTCTATCTTTCTTGCTCAAAGTGCACGGAGGTCACTGGTGAAACTTTGTTTACATATACATTGTAAGAAAATCGATTTATATAACTAGGAAGAAGATTACATGTGTGTTTAACACATTCTAGTGACTGCTCAAAGTGCACGGAGGTCACTGGTGAAACTTTGTTTACATATACATTGTAAGAAAATCGATTTATATAACTAGGAAGAAGATTACATGTGTGTTTAACACATTCTAGTGACTAAAGCGCATAATTAACATCAGAATTTAATCGTTTTGATTATATTAATATGTTTGATGGCAAAGTGTCTTAAAAAATAATTTTAATTTATTGTTGGTTATTCAAAAACATGCAATCAATTAGTTCTTTTGACAATAATATCACAAGCCAAGCTAAACATTATAATATTCAAATTATGTACCAATAATAATTTTTCATTTATGGTGTTTTCTAGAATAATAAACAACATCCTATACTAATATTTGGGAAGTACATCCTAAGGATCATAACTTAAATTTTGTAAGAAATTACAATATATGCCATTATATAATTCTAATCATAAAATTTATTCCATGTCACTAATATATATAAACGGGTCAACGGGTTTAAAGATATTAAAAAATTTTGTTTATATAATACATAATTAATATAATTCGAAAATGTTATATACTAATCAATATTCGAGATTATATAATACATAAAAATGTTATATAATACATAAAAATGTTATATAATACATAAAAAGATTTTGTTTATATAATACATAAAAATGTTATATACTAATATACTAATATATTATTCGAAAATGTTATTGAAAATTGAAAATGTTATTCAAAATGTTATATAGTAATCCATTATTCGAACATCTTATAAAAAATGTCATTGAAAATGTTAATGAAAATGATATATTATTGAAAACATTTTATATCAATCCAATTTATAAAAAATAAAAAATGCTATTTTGAATTATAATACTCATATAGTTCGAAAATGTTATATAAATTGAAAATGTTATATAATTCTCCATTTTTTGAAAATGTTACTAAAAATTGAAAATGTGTCTACTTTCTTATATCTAAACAAAATTTATTTTCAACTACAATTCGTAATCTTTGACAATATTTTCAGTTTCCTAAACATTTGTTATCATCTTTGACAATATTTTGAGTTTCCTAAACATCTGTTTTTAAGTTCGGATCCTGGATAAGATAATTAAGGAAAGTTTTTAAAGAAAAACGACATTAATTAGTAATAAATTCGTTTTTCATATTTGATATCACAAAAATCTTTTTTGTTAATATTTTCTGATTTAGGCAACAGAATATGATGAATTTATGACAATAAAACTATAAAATCTATATTATCCTAAAAGCGAATCCCTAAAATAACGTTAATAGGTAACTAATTGCACCAACTAATCTAAATAAATAGCATATTACTAAATCGCAATTGTGTCATCAATCATTTCCAATAATAGTTGGTATAAAATTTAGAGAATATCTCAATTTTTTATTCGCGAATTAACATTAAATATTTGAATTAAAGATTACACGTTTAACAAACTTGCCAAAATCTCAACATATTATCTTTAACGACACAATTAGGGTTAGTTAATATTTAAATCTTCAACGAATTATAGAAATATATTAAATACTCAAATAAACGCTTAATCCTAGCATATTCCAATTAACAATATAAAAGATTTACTCCCTAATATCTTGCGGCAGTTATTATTTTTTTTCCAAAGATTTCTATGAATTAGCGAAACCTAATTAGTTTTCCTATAAATACTAAACACCTAAACTCCATTTACCATCGCCAAACACAAAACTTGGATGATTTCTCTTTCTTTGTTCTTTCTTTGTTGTTTCTTTCTCTACCTAAAATATTTATTGTTTTTCTTTCTTCTTTTCAATTCTCTACAACTAGAAAATTCTAGATTTCTTCACAATATGTATCACTAATCTATATTTCGTATTGTTTTTTGCAGTTCAATTGTAACCGGCCATTCATGGCAACTAAGAGTGGGATCAGTGCATCGAAAAGTATTTTTCGTTTTTGATTATGGTCAAACTGGGTTTTAGATTCATCATATGTAAATAATCTCATAACTAAATTTTACTAAAATTTTGCTAATCTCTATCTTTTTTTAATTGTGCTACAGATTTCTTAACGAGCTAAACTAAAAAAGACTATCATCTTCCTCATGAACATCGAGGTGATGCGTTAGAGCGAGCGAGTTAAGCCTCTAAAGTTTGATAGAAAAAAATTCATTTTTATTGTTAAAGTTATCATTAATTTTTCTATTGTTTTTAAAACATAATTTTAGAAGAATTTAGATTTCTAAGAATAAAAGTAAAAATTTATATTTAATAAAATCAAAAGTTTGTGGTTTATCATTAGATATGTTTTTTTTAAAGTCCAATTTATTACGTTGACATGATTTTTTTCCCAATTTTTTTTTTTGGAAGGTGCGAAGAATAATGAATTTTGTTATTTTAAAAAAATCTTATAAACAATTTTAATAATTACGATTTTTATAAGCTTTAAGTTGTTATTATTTGCATCATATATGTTTTTTTTTTTCATGTTTAGTGTTTTCTATGTATGCTTTTCTTTCTGATTTTGATTTTAACAAATATAATATCTAAGATCTTTAATAAAATTTTTAAAATTTCTTTCAGGAGAAGAAAAATATGTAGAATCTTCCTCTTTTGATTTGTTCTCATCTTCCAAGTTTTTAAAAACATTAGAGTAACTGAAGTCAAGAATGAATAGAGACAGATAAGAAATAAAAGAACATTGTATTGTTTTATTATACTATATGTATTTTTACTTCTAAGAATTTAACCTCAACATATGATACGTGTTATGTTGACTAAAAATGATGTGTCATGTTAAATATATAGATTTATGAAGTTACATACAAGTTATTCGAATATTGACTAAATCAAATTTAATCCTCTGATTAATATTTATCAACGATGTTACCAACTTTGCGATAATAAAACTAAATTTGTGTAAATACCGATTTAGTATTTTAATATATTCACAGTATTAAATTAAATATAACCATACTATATTTTTAAAAAGTATTAATCTACGGGTCTAAACCTTGACTGAAAATGATCACATCAAATAAAATTATAAATATCTTTATATTATTCTATAAAACTAAACAAATCTAAAATTTTATATTTTATCCAATATAATATTTTTTTAGTAAATTATTTAAAACATGAAAAAAATTGAGTAGCTTCAGTTAATGAAAATATAAAATTTATCCATTTTATATATATATATATACATTTAAATAAAAAAAAAATCATATATGTAAAAGAAAAGCCTTAAAATAAAAAAATACAAAAATTTATTTAACAAAAATATAGGCCCGCGGTGTACCGCGGGTTAATATCTAGTATAGATGATATATTGGAATTTACAAATAAATGTTAATGGGATAAGATGTAATCATTTACGAGTAATTTAGATATTTGTTTATATCTTTTACTTGAGAATAATAAAAAAATAATATTTTTTTTTGGTACTAATACACTGCGTTAAAAAATTTTGTATTTCCAAAACTTTGATTGTGTTGTGTCTATTAGAAAATTTAGAGGAATTAATAAATGTAAAAAAAGAGAGAGAGAAATAAAGGGACCAGATTAAAGTGTGGGATGGTAGATCAACGGCGGAGAGAGGGAGAGAGGTTCATCGTCCTGATTATATATAAGTGAGAGAACAGAAAAGGGCCGACGGAAAAAAAGCTCAAAACCCTAAAACTGAAAGTCCAATTCGATTTGCTCTTTAGCGTTTCGGAGAATCAGAGCCCATTACACGCGTTTCAGAGTCTTCTTCCTCTGTGTTTGCGTAAGTACCCACTTTCTCTCTTCTTCGTTCCGATTTTGCGATTTCGTGTTTTTTCTCTGGACAAGTTTTTGCAGTTGTGTTGCGTTGTGTCGTCTGTTTTATCAGAATTGTTTGTTTCCGGGTCTAATGTGTCTCTTCTTCGTTCGTCTGTTGAATTGTGTCAAAAGCAAACAACTTTATGGATAACTGATTCGATGTTACCTTGTCTGTTTCAGGACTATGGACACTAATCCTTCAGAGCTAGTTGATGTCGACGTTGTTGATGTTGAGATGGATTCTGATACACAACAACCAACCAAGCGTAGGAAGAAGAAGAGGTCTGAGGTGTGGAATCACTTCACCACGGAAACTGTTAGTTCTGACACTAAAAAAGCTCGTTGCATGCACTGCAACAAATCTTTTGCCTACATGACTGCCAATAAGTGTTCAGGAACTAGCCACCTTAAGCGTCACATTGACTTTGGTATTTGTGCAAAGAACGGAGAGATCAATAAGCTCTCGCAAATCAAGGAGGAAACCACCTCATCCCCTCCCAAGAAAAGTCAGATTTCTTCTCCAGAGACCAAGGATGTCAAACCCACTTCCTGTCGTCCCAAGAAGCGTCACATACCTTCTCCTGATCTCCCTCTAGATCAAGATCGCTGTAACCTTGAGATGGCTAAGATGATCATCATGCATGATTACCCTCTTCATATGGTCGAGCATCCTGGTTTTGTTGGTTTTCTGCAGGCTCTTAGTCCCCAGTTCGCTGTGGCAAGCTTCGACACCATTCATGATGATTGTGTCGCTATGTTTTTGTCCCAAAAGCAGAAAGTTTTGGACTTTATTGGAGATATTCCTGGGGGAGTTAATCTTACAGTAGATTTGTGGTCTTCAAAGCAATCAGTGGGTTATGCTTTTGTGGCAGGACATTTTGTTGATAAAGACTGGAATTTGATTCACCGGCTTCTAAATGTTGCTGTTGTGGCCTCTCCTGATTCTGATTTTGCGTTAAACCAACCTGTAACAGCTTGCTTATCCGACTGGCACTTGGAGGGGAAGATTTCGAGCATCGCTGTCAGCCAATCATTAGTAAATAAAACTTCCATTGATAATCTCAGAGGTTTCTTGTCTTTCAGGAACCAGCATGTGTTGAACGGTCAGTTGTTGATGGGGAAATGCTATGCTCGCCTCCTAGGCAGTATGGCGCAAGATGCACTCACAGCTGAGCAGCTTCAAGAGCCCATAAAGAAAGTCCGAGATAGCATCAAGTATGTTCAAACCAGCGAGGCTTGCGGAGACAGATTTGATGAACTGAAGAGACTGTTTCCAACCCCTTCGCCTTACAAA